AAACAATACAATATATACACAGTATGCAGATTCAAAATGCATATAACAGAGGCAGCATCCAGAGCGAGCTTTGTACCTCCTTTTTACAAGCATATAGTCAGGTTAAACTCAGGATAAATTTAATCCTTTTCTACTTTAAAAAAAAAAAAAATTATATATATATATATATAATGTTTCTTTAAAGTGGAAATGACCCTAATTTTTGTGTTTTTAAAGCAGTGTAATCCTGCCTGAGGTGTCTGTATAGAAAGTGAAGTAGTCCGTGGAGTCCGCTTCATTACAAATTTATGAATGGACTTCTGTTGGCAGAGGCACGGCAAATTATTCATTAAACAGTTGTTGGCTTAAAGGTCTAGTAAACTTTTCTACATCTGTTTTTGTCTGTAGAGCTTGCAAAATGTTCAAGAAGATAACTGTTAGATTTTAGCACAGGAAAAAAAAAAAGAAGATGTTGGAGGTGCATGTTTTAAATCACATAGGTAAAGCTGCCTTTGTGTTATTCTCCCAGTGACTCCAGCTCCACCTGCAGGCTCCAGTCCACCACATGGCTCCAGTGTGCAGAACGGACCCTCCTCTTCACCCTCTGATGCTCATAACACACACCCCCATTACAGCAGCGACAATGACGATGACTCTGAGAACGAGGACGAAGCTTTGCAGAAAGAAATCAGCCGTCTCAGAGAAAAGTACGTCATGTTATCACCAATCCTACTTCATATGAATTCTGCTTCAATGCATTGTAGGATTATTCAAACTGACTGTATTTTCTGCTTCCAGGCATATGATGGAGATCCAGGCCTTGCAGACTCGTCAGAAAGAGGAGATTGAATCCTTGTTCAGTAAGATGGGAAAACCTCCTCCGCCTTCTGTCATCGCACCCGCTGTTGCGATGGCTGGAGGTCGTCGTAGGCGCAAAAGCCACAAGTCGGCACGCAGCAGTGGACAGCCTAGCCCCAATCATTCAGGTAAGAACAGAAATTAAATAGTGACTTAGGTGTCAGTGTCACATTTTTTGTATGATCGTGCATAACTGAAGCTGTTGAGGGAAAATGTCAACACTGTATTGTGTTCTGTCCTCATGATGTCCAGGGTCCCCCATCTCAGCTCAGAGTCTTTACGGGTCACAGTCCTCTGCAAAGCATACTTCCCCCTCAGCATCAATGGCCTCGCAAGAAGCAGGTATCCGGTCTACCATGCAGTCGCTCAGATCCTCTCCATCTATGCCTAGCCTCAGTAGTTGCTCAACAGGTAAGCACTTAATCCTGGTACAGTGAGATTCCTTGAGTTGATACCTGGATTTTTCTGTTTACAGTTTACCTCTCATATCTTTCCCAGTATCAAGTGAGACCGGCTCCACAAACGGTTCAAACCACTGTCAGAACCACTCCACCTCCCTGACCCAGGCGAGTGGACCTACTCCCTCTGTCTCTCACACCCAGAAGGGGAAGGGTACTTTCACCGATGACCTGCACCAGCTGGTAGACAACTGGGCCCGGGACGCCAAGAGCCTCTCCCAGGTCAAGAGATGTCCTCGAACCGGGGCTCAGTCTACACTGGGACACGAGGTAAGCATTCAGTAATTGATTATAGAAACTGCCTTTTTATTGCTGGAGAATACTAAGTAACACTTTTATCTCTTCTCTGTTTTTAGATAATCCCTCCTGCAAACATGGGCCGCAAATTCTCCGCTCCAGGGTACCTCTGCCCAACTCTTCCCACACCTTCCAACACGACATCCACCACCAGCAGCACTTCTCACCACCAGAATCCGGCCAACCCCGCTGTCGCTGTGGGGCCTCGTAAAGGCTCTTTGGGCCCTGTATCCCAGAGCTTTGGATACACCTCGACCCCTTACAGCGGCTCTCAGTGGGCAGGACCCACAAGCACAGGCCAAGTCAGCATGCATAACCCCCCGCAGCCACTGACGCAGTACCAGCCGCCCACGACGGCCCCGGTGTCCATGCACCAAAGCTACCACATCGGAGCCACACCAGCCCCTCAGAAATCAGTCGCCCCAGGAGGGTCCAACTTGAGGCCGACATAGCCCCAGTCTGAGCCCTGGTCCAGGCTTGAGATGAAGGACCACACAGGGCAGACAGTCACGGACAAGAACCACTAGCTATTAGCTGGTTAAATGGCTGTGCATTTTTATTTTAAATTCAATTTTTATTATTATTTTTTTTTGTTTTTTTGTGATAAAGCTGACCTGTGTGGTTCAAAGTTCTCTCAAGTGCAGAGCAAGTTCTGTCTGGCTATCGGAGGGAAGAGTGCAATACACTTCCACAGCACAAGAGTGTCACACCTAGCCTGCCATTAGCTGTGGAACGGAGCTGTGACGAGTCAGTTGGTTAGTGTCCAATCCTTAAGGCGGAACCACCAACAGCCAAAGACGAGCAGATGTTGCAATGTCCGCATTACCCTTGAAGAGAGGGGGAAAGGTAGGATGGGATTCTGGTTCAAAGCCTGGACTGAAGGCTGTTGAACCAAATCGCCACAAACAAACACAACTCAACACTTATCCTGTGTGTGTGTGTGTGTGTGACTTTGGATCGAAGGTTGAAGTTGTTTCAGAAAGCGTGTGGGGGGGGAGTCTCAGATGGAAAAGTGAAAGTTTGACAAGTGGAGCTAGAAGAAGGACACAGTAAGTCAGGCAGGAGTGTCATGGAAGGAGTTGCAGTATGAAACCATCCCAGTGGCTACCTATTAAGTAAAATGCAATAATGGCAAAGAGTAGAAATGTTGTCCCTTGTAACTGTGGCCTTAAATCCCCCAAACACATTGAAACATATTGTACATAGATATTTCTCCACTGGGTCATGAGTCCATGATCAGCATATTTATGTTCCTGTGAGTCTGGTGTCTTTGTATCCATACAGCTTTATTATATTTCTGTTTTTTTTTTCATGTCAGATGTGGAAGTCAGTGCATCAGCCACATTAAAAAAAAGAAAACATTTTTCCTGGTGTTGACCACCATACTATGAAACTTGAGAGGCGATGCTGCTAGTCTGGGTAGAGGGGTGTTTGCAGGGTGTTTTTTCTTTTTCTTTAATGCTAGAATGAAATCCCACTTTTGACACACCTTCACTCAGTGAGGTTTAACATCCACTCATATCATTCAACATAGAATAGTTTTGGTTTATTGCAATATTAGCTTCCCACTTGTCCACGTCTTTGACACAGACGCTGCACACAGACGACCAGGTTGTCAAGTGATTTCATGTCGCCGTTAGATCTCGCCGCTCATGACGTCCAGCTTTCCGAGGTGTCTGGGGTTCTCTCTGTGGTCTGTTTTTTTGTATGCGTATATTTAATAAAACAAATGTTCTTTATGGACCTGTATTCAGCCATCAGATTTTGATGTTGTTTCACTGTAATTATTATTAAAAGGTTGTTAAACAACATGTAGTTAAAGGAATATAAAAAGTGCAATTGCAGGGTTTGTTGTTATTGGCATCCTTCTTACCACGCGGGAGTAAATCCTGCTGTTAATTAAGCTCTTCTATGACTGCCCTGCCCCCCCTTCTTTCTTTTTCTATTTAATTGTACATATGTTAATGTGAGTATATGCTTTCATGTAACGCTCAGTCACCAGTGTATGCTTTGTGATGACCCACTCTGCACGCACATGCACTCAAACCTGTAAACATGAGGAACACTTTAGTGCCTTGCATCCTCACTAATGACAAGTTCCAGATTTCATTTAGTCCCGCATCTGTGACTGTACCGCAGAGAAAAGAAAAGCTACTTCTCCTACTTAAAAAAAACAAAAACCTGTACACAACGTAAACACAAATGATCACACGGCCAGCTCAAGCGATGTAACGCTGAACCATCTGACACCACACAGGACGCTGAACAAAGAGCACACTGAGGAATGTGGAAACTGTTTTCTTTTACTCACGACGGTTACATTTGTGTAATAATCCGAGCTGTATAGTTTCAGCTCATGCGTACATGGATTTGGCTGACATTCGTTTTGTGGATTTATCATTAAACTGTTTAATAGAAGCACTTGTTCAGGCAGCGAGTGAGATGTAAAAAAAAAAAAAAAGGATAGAAAATTGTCTCGACTTCACAAGAGTGCCATGCTGTCATTGTGACTCTTCTGCCAAGTAGTTAAACTTCTCTAGAGAAAAAATAAGTTACTGCAATGCAGAATATGCAATGTTTAAAGTTGTTATGGGACAGGGGAGAAGGGAAACATTTGCATGCTGATGAGGGTTGTTACTGACTTCAGTGTTTTTGATATTGGACTATTAGAAATCTTTTTTTTTTAATCTTTGCTTTTTTTGAGTCATCACAAAGTGTTTGTTCTGTTCTGCTGCCATTCAACATTATCACAGGCACAACTTCAATATCAGACTTATCTGCATGCCGGCGTCACTGATGTTTAAAAATTACAAACTGAAAAACCACAACTCACAACTGGACACTGTACAGCACAAGCTCAATAAAGCTTCTGGTCCTCGTGTTATTATTCAGTAAATACACAGTACTGACACACACTAATAGTATCTGTTGAACTCTTTATTTCTGATCCCTCCTTACTGATTTCCTGTGATTCTGTGTCTGTTTTGTGTACGTTTTTCACATTGTACAAAATGTAAAAACAAATAAAAAGAAATATCATTTAAAACACTTAGCTTGCTTGTTTTTGTCTTTTAAAAACTAAATGATTTTCTATGGTCAACCTGAATTTATTCTTACTTTTTAATCAATTTAATGGCTTAAAATACTAAATACTTCCTTCAGGGATCAGATGTGTGGTTATAATTCTGGAGTTTAGATCGAGTGTGCCACGTACAGACACGGACTAGTGTGTTTTTTGTTTTTTTTACAAAACCAGATAACATTTCTCCAAAAAAAAAAATGGCATAAAAGCAAGACATTTCAAAAATGAATGTAATAAACAAATAAATATCAAAAGAAATTTAAAATAAATAGGCTGACTTGTACCTTCTTTCTGCTCCTTTTCATCCAAAATTTGAGATGTTATGTTTGTTTTTCTTAACTTTATTGTTTTTTTTTGAATGAAATAAAATTTACAAATAAAATAAAATAAAAATACATTGTGTTAAATTGTAGAACAGCGTCATTAAACCTCAGGTTTCAAGTCTGCGTTTCTTCATGTGTTGTCCTTCTCTGTAAGGACTCGACACTTCACCTGTAAGCAGAAAAAAAGTAGACGGTAATCACAGATGTCAGCCAACAGAATGTTAACAGTGACTCTTAAAAAAACCCTCACCTGGTCTGGACTGATAATGAGTTGTGTTCTGAGCCGTGTTGTACGATGGAGCTCCATCTGGAGGCCTGCCCGGCGCCCTCTGAGGGGTCTTACTGCGTGTCTGCATCTGGTGATTCCCAGGCGTGCTGGGCCTGAGCGCTTTGGAGGGGGGGCTGCCTGCTGGGACGCCCAGCTCCTCAATCCCATCCAGAGTGAAATCCCAGAGCTCAGGGTCATCTGCACAGAGACAAACAGGTCACACTGAGGGGATGCTGGCTGCAAAATAAAGACATGCACGTTTCCTTACACCCCCTCCCCTCCCCTCAGCACATTGAGGGTTTAGGTACCTGCTAAATACTGATCCCTGCTGCTGGGCTGCCTGTGTCCCACAGAGCTGATGTCAGTGAAGGCAGGGGCTCCTTCATGCCCTGGAGGAATGGAGACCACTATTTAAATCAACTCTGGAGAAAGACATGTGTATACACCGCATAGTTACAATCAGAGGTACTCTTCAAACAGAAGTCTTAACAAGACGAGTTATCGTTTTATTATCTGTAAGACTCCATAACCAGAGCCACTCTTTATGTCACATTCTATATCGATATGTTTCTGTCATTGCAGATAGAAGAGGGCACCTGCTGTTCTCCAGGTAAACATTATTATGCAGTGAAACTAATAATAATTTAAGATAAGTTAGAACTGTATTTATCCCTGAGGGAATTCTTGTGCCGAGTTGTATGACAGTACATCATTAGCAGTAGTATTGACAGTTCAGACTCAGAAAATTCCCAGCTCTAGGTAGAGACCACACTGATAAACAACCAACACTGTAAAAAAGGTATTGCTTGGTAAAACTTTTTTTTTTTTTCAAAGAACTGTCCAGTGAGTTTTATTTGAATCTGTGACCTCTGCTAAAGATCTTTGTCATATAACACACTCTCACCTTTTTTTATTTTTTTATTGTATTTATTATTTTTATTAATGAATTATTATTGATTGATATGTAAATGTGTATAGGTTTGTGTGGATATATGTATGTACGAAACTGGGAACATGTGTGGGGGCGGGGGGAACTTGTAGGCAGGCTTGGGAATAGCTTCTGAATAATTTATGTTTAGAGTTTTTCCTTGTATTTTTTCTTTCCATTGCCTGTTTCTGTTTTAAATTTAAAAAAAAACCTTCAATTAAAAAAAATGAAACTCTCACCTTCACTGGATCCTGTTCCAATAGCAACCTCTATGTCCTCAGACTTGGTTTTATCCGGATTCTGCTGCATCCTCTTGGCCTCCATCTCTCTCCTGAACTTTTGCTGAAGCTGCTGCTGTCGAAGCTTTCTCAGCTGTTTTGGGTCTGAGTGACCTGCAGACTCAACGACTTCCTCAGACTCTGTGACGGGTCTTGAAAAAGGAAAACATTTGGATTAAACAGAGATGAAGAAGTTTCTGGACAAATAGAAACTAGACCTTGTTACCTGGCGATGATGTTCTCGCTCTCCTGGTCTCCCGCGGGGCCCGCGGCGTTCGGGGTGCGCACTTCTGAATAGTTCTGGTTCAGGCGTCTGGGCTCCAGTGGGATTCTGCCCGGACCCGCCGCAGATAAAAGCTTTTCTTCACAGACCAGACTGGAGAGGCGGGCCTTCTCCACTGAAGGCTCCCCCTCACAGCGCTTAGTCCGGGCCGGGTCCAGAGGAGGAGGAGGCTTTGTGCAAAGAATTGACATTGATTTTAAATCCTGAGAATTTTTCATTGATTATAAAAAAATCACAAAATGTAGTCACTGAGTCTGACCTGTTTGGGGATTTTGTTAATGGCTACAAGGTACTCCTTATTCAGAATGCAGTTTCCTAAGGCATTTCCGAAGCATCTTAACACAGACACACATGAATAAATTTGATTTTAGCACAAGACTTGTTCCTCTCTTCATTTGACAAAGTATTTTTTTTTTGTTGTTTTAGATATAAAAAAAGAAATTTCCAGTACTTCAGTGCTCTCTTCATGCCATCGGTCACTGCTTCTTTTCTAGCTTTTTCTAGCGACAGAGCTTTAGACTTCAGACCTTCACTGACTCCGTACCCTACGTCCTCATGAAACGACCCGTCCTGCACAAAGAGTACACACACAAATCAATGTAATAATCTAGATCTTAAAGTATATTCAGTCAACATCATGCAACGTAATTGCTGAAAGTACAAACAATACACAACCTTCAGCTGCACTTTGATAAACGCACTGACTCCAACGTAGAACTTTCCGTTGATGAGGTCGACAAAGTCTGTCAGATATAAAATAATTGTGTTAGTCGGACTGTGTGACAGTAAGTTAGACTCTAACGAGAAGCTCCGTAAGTCGTACCGACATTCTGCTGAGAGATGGAGTGAGACCATCCGTTGTATCCAAACATCTCATTAGCCAGGCTGATCACACGATGTCCCTCAACATAGCACACCTGCAGGAGTTCAAACATGTGCAGATAAAGGAGGGAGAGCAGGCAAATTTACTCAACAGATAAAAAAGAACCTTATTGTTACAACTTGAGAAAAATATACCTCTTTAAAGGCTTTATATGTGATGTTTTGATCCAGCAGATGTCGCCCTTGAGCACCAGCATGAAACCAAAACAACTCACGCTGCATTGTTGTGTTAGCATGCTAATGCTAGCGATCTTTATTATGCTGGTATCTTCACACTGCATGTAAATTTACCTGAAATGAGCGTGATCTAGAAACACAGTTAAGCAGTGAGTACAGTATGTTATTCTTCTTTTCTCTAGTCCCTCAATTAAACTACTTTTATACACGAGGGGAGGAGTCAGCCGGCCGTCCGGGCGATGTAAACAAAGTGAAGATAGGACTCTGAAAACTCTGAAAACATCACAGACAGTGGGACTCGGGTGTTACACCCATTGTAAACAGTCATGACTCACAGAGTTATTTTCAGAGGAGATACTTGATTTATATTATATTTAAGTGTGAAAAATCACATATAAAGACTTTAAGGAAATGTAAAGAAACAAAGAAGTAGTGATAGAAATCAATCGTGCACTTTTAATAATAATAATGAAAAGCCAGTTTTAAAAGAAACATCAAACTTTGATTGTAACATTTCCAAACAGTTGACTTGCGACCGGCTCCACACACAGCGGTGCAGAAAACAAAGGCAGAGACACAAACAAAGACTTGCCTTCTGTCCTCCTCCTGCCATTCTGGTACTGATGTACTCCGGCCCCAGCTTCTGCTGCAGAGCATTGTGCACCGCCTGGTACTCCTCAGCTGTGTAGAACCCTGAGAGACACAGGCCAGTTAGGAAAAACAAACCATCATTGATCTTTCAGTAACAACCAAATGCTGCCAAACTGTCTTCTGCTGTAACACGGGCAATAGATTTTTAAGGTGATTTTGCATCTGTTATTCCTCCAGCTTTAACATTCCCATATGGTCTCTCGTTTTTCAGCAGCAAATTAAAATGGACTACATAAGTATTGTGTTACAAATAAATAAAAAAAATCCAAACCTAAAATGCTTTGCAGTTAATATTGAATACCAGAATATCGAGATTTTTAAACGCAGTCTTAAAACTCATTTATTCAGTCTGGCTTTTATATAGTTCTTTATATCAATTCAAATCTTAACATTACTGTATTGTCTTTTTTATCCTACTACAATTTTAAATATTTTCCTCTTGTGTATTAATTTTAATATCTTGTTGCTTTTATGTGTCGTATTTTATTTTAATTTATTTTTATACATATTTTTTAATTCTTATTGGTGTGCATTAGTCTCTCAATGATTTTATAAACTACTTTTAGTCAATAACTTTTCTGCACTCTTTTTAAGCACTTTGAACTGCAATTTAATTTGTCTGAAAGGTGCTATATAAATAAAGTTTGATTGATTGATTGATTAAATCCCTTATTATGATTACGTGCAACCAAGTGCACCAAAATCCAAGAGCTGTCAGAAGTTTTCAATCAAACACACAGTAAAAGCAAATAATTAAAAATATTGATAAATATAATAGAATACATAATAATGATAAACCAGTTTGTAACAATGTTGAATGTGTCAAATTCCAGGCAGAGTGAAGTTTTCTTATAATGATGGACAACATGTTGTTGCAGGTAAACAGGTTTGTTTACTCTCCCTCAGTTCAACCCTTAAACAGCAGAGACAGAAAACAGATGTGATATCAGATGATATTAAACCTTAAAGCTGGTTTCTGCATTTATTCATTTCACTTTATTCCAGTTCAGTTGTTAAGAGCACAAACATTGGAACTAATCCAGGGGTAAGTTATGAGTACAGTTATAAATCAAACACATGGTGAAGGTGCAGCGACTTGATTTTGCATCATGTTGTGACGTCATGACCAACCTGTCCGAAGCCCTTCGGAGCAGAGCTGCTCCTCTCTGTGTTACTGGACATGACTGCAGAGCTCTCCTAAAGACATTAACATAAACAAACAGATGGACAGGGGTTACTTCTGCTTCAGCTCTCACAACTCACCAAAACTCTTTTTAATTATCGTTTAAACCTCTAACTCACTGACCTGCCTCAGAGGTGAAGCGAGCTGTTTTACCGGTTACATTAACCTAAATTACAATAACATTAACCATGACTAAAAGCCGCGTTAGTTAGCCCGAGCATATTTACACAAAACTCACCGGACAAACTACTCCAAAAGTGATTTATTTGCTGAAAAAGCAAGTCGGAAAACAGAGTATTTGCATCATTTTAGCTCAACAGGAAGAACTTCCGAACTTCCCGCTCGGACCACAGGAGGAGGAGTCTAATGCCGCCTTCCGGGCCCGTCGGAAAAAAGAGTTGTAAGTAAAATGTCGGGATAGAGAAAGTGTTTTCTTACGTAACGATTTTCTTTGTTATTCACCATGATGTAGGTATGTCGTAAATGCTATGGTTGTAAGTTGGTGTGATTATGTTTTGTTGATGCGATTTCGCGATTATTTGTTGTTATTGCATTTTTCAACATGATAAGCTAGCCAATAACTCGATAAAAAACTGGCTACCTCTGAACTGTTTAATTCAGGACTACGTAACAAATGCTTTAAAAATATCGTGTGAATATAAAGTCAAATTAAATAATAATAAATTAAAAAATACAAATTTTATCCTCCATTCTGTAGTTTTACTAAGAAAAAAGCAATGATTTATCAAGGTGAAGTTTGCTGTAGGATAGTTTACCTAACTATGGCGGATTGACTCACTATTGAGGCATTTTAATTAATTTATTGGCTAAATAATAAATGCTTACTTGCCTTATAGGCAAATAATGTGTGTACACATTAAAACGAAATTCTTCTCCTATAAGCCAATTGTTTTCTTGAGCACTTATTTTAATGATTAATGTGAAGAAAAAAATAGCTTTTTTAAATGAATTACGATACTTTAAAATAAAGACCAAAAAGAATACAGCAGGAGGATATTTATCCAGAGTTCCTGCATGCCGTAAAAAAATATGAGGCAAACTGGAGTCATCTCTAAATCTGTGTTCAAGGGAGATTCAATCAAGATTTTATGTAACAAATATAGCCAATTCTTCTTTCTTTTAAATGACTGTAAATTCGTTTCCCTAAATGTAAATTTCCAATGTTGTTTTTATTATTTAGGTTTACGAAAAATACATTCTAATGTTTATAAATACATTTAAAAAAAGATGTAGGCCTAGGTAGGCTACAGCTGATGTTTCATGACTATTGTTCATTTTTAATTTAAAATATTTTCCTTTGTTTCAAATGTATAGTCTAGTCTTGGGTAAAATGTCTAAGAGAAAATGTCCCGAATCGGAGGTTAGAGTTGGCTATCTTTTGTTTATCTTTTTTTGGGTGAAACAGTGTAAATGTTGATTTGATTAAAACACAAGAATACAATATGTATGTAAGCTAAATTGCATATTTGATGTTTGGTTTGCAAACATAGGCTATAGCCTAATATTCACACAACCATATTGCCCAGTCTATTTCTCATAAAGAGGCTAATGCACAGCGTGCCTCTGTTAAAACCAGTTTAGTTTATCACGAGAGCCAGTTATTGAGGCTAAATCACGACTCGTGGAAAAAAGGGGGATTATCTGCAAAATGCCCGCTGACAGATGGTAGGAGACCCACTGTGTTAAACGGCATAGATTGGGGTCAGTGCCGGATGATGGCATGCGTTTATTATATCCCACTATGTTTCTGCAGCCACATGCACGAGGGCAAAGCAACGTGGCACATTTTCTTTTCTTCTACCAATGCTTTAACTCAGGGATGGGCAACTTTGGTCACAGCAAGGGGCCACATTCATTTCATTCTCACTGCCAGGGGGCCAAATTGTAGGATACAAAAACGATTACAGTCAATTATGTCTCAAATTTAACTCAACATATACCAGTGATCATATATTATTATGGACATATTTCAGGTTTTCATGATTTCATGGCAGATTTTGTCATGTTTTCTTCATGTTTCCAAATTAATTGTTATGTTAAAATTGACCTGAGGGCCACTTTAAGGGTTGATGGGGGCCGCATGTGGCCCTTGGGCCGCCAGTTGTCCACCCCTGCTTTAACTGCACACCTGAAGGTACTGCTGTGCTATATAGCCTGGTAAGAGAATTCAGTGGGTTAAAGCTCTGGCTCTATATGCGGATGTTTGTTTTATAAAAGGCCTACATTAATCTGTTCCATAGCCTTCATTTTAACACCTCATGAATACAGAGAAATAGATCCGGGCATGCCCAGTGCAGGCCATAACTCGTGCTTTAACTTAGATCTCAGTAATTCCCCTCTTTTGCATACAGCTCTTAACTACAATGCGCGTTCACGTTCCTCTCATGGCCGCGCTCAGGTTTTTTTGCTTTGCATCTCGTCAAAACAAAGCGAGCACACACAGCGCTGCATGCTTCATGAATGAGTCCCCTTCCACCACCACACCACCACCGCAGGTCGGACCCCTCATCCGCCGCCTGCACCCTGATGCCCGTGTGGGTGCGCAGCCGGGCGGGGGAACAGTAGTGGAGCCAGCCGTTCATGAACTCGGACATATACACACACATCCGAACAGAAGAAGGGCCTACTACATGCCCGATTCATCCCTCCAGAAGCAACACAGGATACGGCACGGTGAGTGCAGGGTGGGCGGGCAGAGGCGCATGACATATACGGCAACTTTGTGGGGCCATTATGATCCAGGTTTTTCCTCCAAAGCTGGACTTCGTGATGCATCTCCGAGAGAGCCACGTTGATTACAATGTCTTATTGTCGCGTCTACACAGGTAGAAAAAAATAGAAAAAGCTCCACGTACGCACGACTGGTTGGTTGTACATTCCTCCCTGTAGGACAAACGTGTACTGTTGACCGCATGTCTGCTTGATTGTCTATCTTATTAAACATGTGGCTTAACTGCGGGTTATCAAGAGGCCAACATAAGCAATAAAGACTAATAATAAAAAGGAAAGTGGCTCCATCGATCCGACTGTAGTCGCCCTTAAGAGACAAGGAGGAGGGGTGAACAAAAGCAGAAGTGCACAGACTAGCGTGGCATGGCATGACGGGTAGACTGTAGTCTGTGTGTGTGTGTTTCTGACTGTAATGGAAGCAGATCAACTCCCCTGAAAACACACCGGTCACACATGTTATCAATGGCAGTGGGGGGGGGGGGGGGGGGGGGGGTCATGTTGTGTCTTTTGTCTGAGGAGTGACAGCCCAGACTGTTGTTCTCCCCTCCGACCAGGGGATGGTGCTTTACTATGTACAGTATGTTTCTATGGGAGGAGACACCCAAACCCACTACAACACTGTAATGAAACACTCCACCATGACTCCCTGCGTGGCTTTTTACTGGAAGAACACTCACACTGTACATGTTCACACACGCATTTCCCCATTTGGTGTCTGATGGTTCACACTTGATTGCAAAACACTGTGTGCACATTGTGTTGAAATAACAGTCATTGACAGGAGGAGGAAACACATTTTTTTACACTCTTATAAGGAGGTTGCACATGTTTGACTTGTTTTCCTTTTAGTGCTGATTTGATCTAAATTTGTCTGTTTAATATTTATTTCAGTCATTTCGTCTTCATAGCACACAAGTCTTTAGAACAGATGTTTATTGCCATTTGCACAGGTACAGGACAGTACAGGTACATTGGAATTTCTGTGCGTTTCTCCCTGAGTCAGCTTCTACAAAAAAGTTAAAATTATGTATAAAATAGAATAGCATTATAAGAAAAAAAGAGCAGAAAAGTACAAAAAAAATAAACTGTACAGAAGTTATACACTGTATTAAAGCAAAGATATAATACAAAATAACAAAGGGAACACTGTACAATGAGATGAAAATATAAATATGTTTTCTTGTCTCTACTTTCTACATCTCTTATTGCACCTGAGGTTATTGCACACATATTTTTCACATTATATAATTGCACTGTTTTGTTTTTAAGGTTAATATTGCACACTTGTATTGCACTGTGAGGTGGTCAGCTGTCCATTTAGTCTGTGAGGTGTGGGGTGAAGTACTGTAGTGCTATAAGTCTCACAGCAGCAGCTTGAGCTGTTCTTCACTGATGCCTCACCTTTATGTTTGCTATCTGTGTAATCACCTTTGTTTTTGTGCCTTCGATGATCTTTCTACCTCCAGTCAAATCCTCATAAACCATTCCTCTATACTCCCCCATCCTCATTATGTTTTCAGATGCTTGATGGACTCCGGCGGAGGCATGGCTCCCGGCCCTCCTCGAGACCCTCCTCCCGCCCCCTGTCCCTCAATTTCAGCACCTTCTCGGCACCTCCCCCGAGCCCGGACATGGACACCGCCAGCGAGCATCCAATCAGGAGGTAAAGGCTCACTTCCCTCGGGATTCAAATTTCACAACATATAAGCATCCTGGAAAATGCATGAAACATTAATGAGGGTTCATAAAAAATCCCACCAGCTCTCCTCCCAGAGGTTTTCAATTAGCTGTTACTGTTGCCCAAACAGTAATGACTCCTGGTGGGATGTTTTATTCACTAATTTCCTTACGTGTTTATATGTCATCAGTTTGTATATTTGCTTTATATTTGCTATTAGCAGAGTTTCTGGACTGTGTGGGTTTTCAAATCATAATTTCTAATTTTTTGAAATATATTTTTGAAGGTAAGAATTCATTAAAAGTCAAAAATCAGTCATATGGTCCTGAGTTGTAGCGAGTATTTTAAAAAGCCACGTGTCTTAGCGGTGGCATTGTATTCCAACAAACTGACACCGGGCTGTAAACAATGGACAACATTAGCTGAATGCATATCCTCTGTATGTTTGCAGGCAAGTAACAGAAGAGCATGAACAGAGATGCAAACACATATCTATCGTATTAAGAACAATAGTTTAGATCAGAATGACTACACTCTCACATTCTTACAGTAAATATGAAGCTACCACTAGAAACATGTTAGCTTAGCATAAACATTGTAAACAAGGGTTACAGCTTCATCAAAAGATCACTCACATTATAATAATAAAAGACTTTATTTGGTATCACAGACACATTGTTTAAGTGTATTAGCAAGCATGCTAGTTCTCAACACCTGTGCACATGAGGCTTTTGAAAGGAAAACATTTAAGATGGGAAGAAAAGCGATAAAACAGGAAATCAATAAGGAGAGAATAAATAAATAGACAAATAATAATAATATAATAATCTTGCTTTACAAGGACAGCAAACATAAAAACAGGCATGTCATAGAATAATAAACAAGGCAAGATTAAGGAATAAAAATTACTTTAAAATATAAAATCCCTTTTAAAAGAACTGTAAAATACATACAATTATTTATAAGTCTTTCTATGTGATTTTTCACACTTAAATGTAGAAATCAAGTATATCCTGACTGTCTACAATGGGTGTAACACCCGAGTCCCACTGTCTGTGATGTTTTCAGAGTTTTCAGAGTCCTATCTTCAGTTTGTTTACATCGCCCAGACGGCCGGCTGACTCCTCCCCTCGTGTATAAAAGTTGTTTAATTGAGGGACTAGAGAAAAGAAGAATAACATACTGTACTCACTGATTAACTGTGTTTCTAGATCACGCTCATTTCAGGTAAATTTACATGCAGTGTGAAGATACCAGCATAATAAAGATCGCTAGCATTAGCATGCTAACACAACAATGCAGCGCAAGTTGTTTTGGTTTCATGCTGCATTTAAAGCCTTTAAAGGAATTCTAAAAAGTGAAAATAGTAACAATTTAAAATCAACAAAAATCAGGAAAGGCTCGCCAGAAAAAGTGTGTCTTAAGAAGGGACTTAAAAAGAGATGACTGATTCTGCCGACCTGATCTCCTGCAGGTCGTTCCAGAGTCTTGGAGTCCTCACGGGAAATGTTCTATCCCCTTTTTGTTTTTAATTTTGCATTTGGAACCACCAGGAGACCTCTGCCTGAGGATCTCAATGTGCATGTGGCTTTTTAAGGTAGTAAAAGGTCTGATAAAGCAAAGGCAACATGATCAAACAATAAACCAGTCAGAAGCTGTTCATGTTAGCACGGTTGTTTTGATTTTAGCCATTGTTTGAGTCCTCTGTTAAAAGCGTTTCTGTTGCTCTCTAATTTTATGCCAGTGGGCAGAGAGCTCCAAAGTGTTGCCCCCTTTGCAGAGAAAGAAGACTGGCCAAAAGATGTCTTTGTACAAATTACCTTCCATTAAAACATACACAAACATATTACAGTTTTGTTTTGTGTCATTCTTGCTTTAAAGGCTTTATATATCGCTGCATTGTTGTGTTAGCATGCTAATGCTAGCGATCTTTATTATGCTGGTATCTTCACACTGCATGTAAATTTACCTGAAATGAGCGTGATCTAGAAACACAGTTAAGCAGTGAGTACAGTATGTTATTCCCATTGTAGACAGTCATGACTCACAGAGTTATTTTCAGAGGATATTTTTTTTTTATTATTTTATTATTTATTTATTTGTTAGGGACCGTGCATATTAATGAACAGCTGTAACAATTACAGCTGTAAAAATGCCAGATTATAGCAGAAGTGCTAGTTTCCATCTGTTGTCCCTAGGACAACAAGGATAATTGATTTATATTACATTTAAGTGTGAAAAATCACATATTACACCTTTAAAGTTCATTTTCCAGTAATACGTTTGTTTATTATTGTTTGGATTATATGATTTGCTAGAGTATAGCAGATAATATATTTATGTTTATCTTGGGAATATTGATGAATAAAAATAGAGACAGGCAGTGAGGTGTATTGTTATTTGTTTATTTTGGATCCCCATTAGCTTTAGCATAGCGAGAAGCTATTCTTCCTGGGGTCCGCAGTTTATATTGTGACAATACATTTTACAAATTCATATTATATACTGTATTATTCTTTTCACACTTCACAAACATTCCACAACTTTTCTTCAATAACTAAAAATAATAGACATGTTGAACATGTGTACCAAACGGACTGAATGCATAAAACATTGTCATGTCTCTAGAGTGGTTAAGGAATAAGTAAGTTTAAGAACATAAGATTGAAAAGGAAGACAGAAGATAATCACTACACTTGCAAAGGTTTGAGTATAAATGCCCCATCTTTTGGTTTTATGGGCGTTAGGTCTTTGCTTGAAGACATTTCTTTACTAGGGGGAATAACATCAAAAGTCAATATAAATAGTCCAGCACATGATCCAATTATTATTCCCTTGTAAAGAGTTGGCTGTTTAATATTTCATCCTCAGCTCGTGTAGTAAACTGCTGTCTGTAACTTATTGAAGTGTATCAGGAGTGGTCAAATCTTCTCATCTAACAGTCAGAGAGAAAGTAAATATGCTTTTATTTTCTTCAAGTGACACAACTGTTCTGTAACTCCCTAACAATCATTTTTCTAACAGTGTTTGGTCTGGCTTTTCAACTCGTGCTGTGCAATTAGACATGGTTCAAATTCAAGTTTTTTGTTACATTTTAATGGAAATCCAAAGCTTACAAATGTTTGAAAACAATGTCAGAAGAGTAAGCAGAAGACCTGTCCCCCCCCCTCCCCAGACTTTAAAGTATTTAACCCTCATGCATCACTATGGACATTTCTGTCCATTTGGTCAGATTTTACTTCTTCATCTGGCCATCATTTTGTCTGTGTTAGTACATATGGCACCATTTTTGTAAGAAAGACTCTCTTGACACATTTTGGAATGCACATTTTAGTTTTTTTTAATAGATCAATAGAACACTGAGAAACATGTTTACTAGCCTCTTAAGTCACTTTGGACGAAAATGTCCACTTCCAAAAAACTGATATAAAAATAGAACAGATTGATATTTTTTTCTGCATACATCTCTTAAACAACTTCAGCCCTGCTCAAAACTACCAAACATTCAATCATTTATAGGAATTTAACCCTTTAAATGCCAGTTTGATTACTTGATGTCACTGTTGTTATTTATGAAAATAAACCACAAAAATTAGTTATTTTCCATATAACATATATTTGGTGGCTGGGGGATTTTTTTAAAAATCAGTCTTGGATATGTCAAAGATTATCCAAAATATTGAATTTGATGCATTTCTGTGTAGCATCAGATTTAAAATGTAGTTCCCTGTTTGGACATTGGAGGGCGAAAATGTCCAATTTACAAAAACTGCTTTAAAAATAGAACAGATTGATATTTTTTTCTACTTTTTTTTGCATAAATCTCTTAAACAACTTCAGCCCTGCTCAAAACTGTCAAATATTGAATAATTATCAGGGATTTAACCCTTTAAATGCCAGAATCATGTAATCAAACTGGCATTTAAAGAGTTAAATTCCTAAAAAATATTGAATGTTTGGTAGTTTTGAGCAGGGCTGAAGTTGTTTAAGAGATGTATGTAGAAAAAAGTAGAAAGAAATATCAATCTGTTCTATTTTTATAGAAGTTTTTTGTAAGTGGACATTTTTGTCCTTAGTGACTTAAGAGAGTAGTAAATTTGTTGCCTGAAGGTTAAGTTGTGATAAAAGACAATAAACTCGAAATTTGAGGACTCAAATATCATAATCATTGAGATCCTTTTTTTTTTTTTTTTTTACTTTTGTTTGTCCTCCACCAGCTGTGTGGAGAGCAGGAAACATTCTTCACTGTCCCGTATTGTTTCTCTGTTTCCTATCCCTGTTGTTGTCAACAAGCTGGAGGACTTCCTATTCCACCTCCTCTCCGTACAGTTAGAAGCACAACAAAGAGCCGACTACTTTAATCTGCTCATTCTGCAGTTCTGTGGCATCTGTGCTCTGCATAGATAATTGTTTGCATCAATGGCGGTATTGTCCTGAAGTGGAGGCAGAGTGGGAAGGAAGAATCTGCTCTCATCAGTCCATGTGCGATTGTTTTCTCCTGTTTTCGAGACCTGGGCCACCTCTCGCCTTGGCTCCACCTTTCCTGCTCTTAACAGCCTGCCCCCTCTCTCGGCATGCATCAGTCTGTCCTACTTCTCTCATCCTCTGCTGCTCTTTGTGTTGCCATTGTGCGTACATCTCTTTTAGACTCGCACTGCTTCTGTTCTCCTCGTCCCTCCGGCTACTTCCTCATGTTTCTTCTCTGTGTCACAGCCTGACCTTCTTTATCTCTCCTGTCCGGTACTAAGTGCATACTTCCTGTTTCTTCCTCATGAGGACCCTGCACCGGCTGAAGTTGATGAGCTCTCCCAGCCTCAGCGAGCTGGGGAAAAGTGAGAAAAGTTCACCGGAAGACAGAGGGGAGAAGCAGAAGAGGGCGGGAGCCAACGCCACCTGGAACAGGTACACACAACACAATCCAGATTCAAACGCAGCGGCTTAAATACACATGATCAAAAACAGCAGATGAGTTTGTGATGTTTTTTTTGCCACAGCATCCACAATGCTGTCATAGCTGTCTTCCAGAAGAAAGGTTTGGCAGATAATGAACTCTACGCACTCAATGAAGGTGTCCGGTAGGTTTTAGAAACAGCTACAAACAGTCAAACAGCAGAGAGAGAAAAAGCTTGTTTTCAGTCTGTCGCTGTCATTTTGAGCTATAATTAGCATAATTACTGTCTGTCCTGTGTTTGCTGACTGAACATTTTTCTTGTGAATTAGTTTGTTTGTGTGTGAGATGTACGACTGTGGGCCCGGGGAGTCATGTGGTCCTTTCAGATATCTCATTATCTGCTCAAACCAGACCCATCACTTCTATCACACCAGCCGCCATTACCGCCCAGTAAATGAATTTCCATGTTCAGAGAAGCCGTGAGGAGGCTGACACACACATCGTCAGTTATTCTCAAGAAACTGGCTGCATCCGAATTGCCAAGTACCTACTCAATCTGTCAGTAGACAGTACCTACTATTCAGTAGGCAGATATTTGTTCCTACTTCGTTTGATTCATTCAGTAGGGAAGTGGCATCATTTGGGTTTCCCGAACCGGCCGCATTCACCTGTTTCTTTTTTTGTTTATCTTTATTCAAGAATAATGTTCATACAGTCAGGTAAACAAAACAATATCACAATGTAAATCAAGTAAAAGACAGATTAAATAACTAAATAACATACAGTACATAAAGAAAAGATCAAATGAAAGACAGAAATATACAGAATATAAAATAAACCAGTAAAGACGCATTTAAATAGTGAAATCATTATTTAAAGTCTTTCTATGTGATTTTTCACACTTAAATATAATATAAATCAAGTATCTCCTCTGAAAATAACTCTGTGAGTCATGACTGTCTACAATGGGTGTAACACCCGAGTCCCACTGTCTGTGATGTTTTCACAGTTTTCAGAGTCCTATCTTCACTTTGTTTACATCGCCAGGACGGCCGGCTGACTCCTCCCCTCGTGTATAAAAGTTGTTTAATTGAGGGACTAGAGAAAAGAAGAATAACATACTGTACTCACTGCTTAACTGTGTTTCTAGATCACGCTCATTTCAGGTAAATTTACATGCAGTGTGAAGATACCAGCATAATAAAGATCGCTAGCATTAGCATGCTAACACAACAATGCAGCGCAAGTTGTTTTGGTTTCATGCTGGTGCTCAAGGGCGACATCTGCTGGATCAAAAAATCACATATAAAGCCTTTAAGTAGAGGGAGAAAGGTTTTATAATAATGCAGACATTTATTATATTTTCTGTTGTTAATTTAAAGTAGTGATTTCAGTCGGGACTTTAACTCTAGATTAAAAATTGATTAAATTAATCAACGCTCGTTTGTTTTGATTTGGAGGCAGACGCGAAGTGACGATTTACGTTTAATTTCGCACTGCATTGTGGGTGTTAAAATACAATTCATTTCCTGAAAGGATGCATCAGAGCCATACTGCATGAAACCAGGAAGTTAGTATCCATACTGAAATGTTCAGTATACTGAAACTCCCTTCTGAAAAGTACGCACTGCCTACTGAACTGTGGCTTTTCAGAAACGGCCAGTGTGACTCATAATGCAGGAACACATGGTGCTTAGTAGATTAACATACTGTATATGTTTTGGTTGTATTTAATGAAACTACAGATTCACATTGTATATGGGTTTAACAATGAGGCTGTGAACTCATATCCAAACAGAAAGGAGGAAACAACTAACATTGGTTGGAAACTGTCAACATTAATATTACTGGCACTGTTTCTGAGACCTGAACGCACCTTTTCTTTTTTCTTCAGGCATCTGCTGAAGACTGAGGTCGGGTCCTTCTTCACAGAATACCTTCAGGTAAAGATTTTCCTACAGCTGGGATCAGAGTATGTCAGAGTGACCTCTTACTATGGGTCACAGTGTTGTTGTTGTTGTTGTTGTTTTACTTGATAACAATTAGTTGCTCTTCTCTTTTGATAATTCTCAGAACCAGTTGCTGACAAAGGGCATGGTCATCCTCCGGGACAAAATAAGATTCTACGAAGGTATGACTGATTTGATCAACCTTAAAGACTTTATATGTGATTTTTTGATCCAGCAGATGTCGCCCTTGAGCTCCAGCATGAAACCAAAACAACTGGCGCTGCATTGTTGTGTTAGCATGCTAATGCTAGCGATCTTTATTATGCTGGTATCTTCACACTGCATGTAAATTTACCTGAAATGAGCGTGATCTAGAAACACAGTTAAGCAGTGAGTACAGTATGTTATTCTTCTTTTCTCTAGTCCCTCAATTAAACAACTTTTATACACGAGGGGAGGAGTCAGCCGGCCGTCCGGGCGATGTAAACAAAGTGAAGATAGGACTCTGAAAACTCTGAAAACATCACAGACAGTGGGACTCGGGTGTTACACCCATTGTAGACAGTCATGACTCACAGAGTTATTTTCAGAGGAGATACTTGATTTATATTATATTTAAGTGTGAAAAATCACATATAAAGACTTTAATGACACAATACAATACCATTGTATACAATCGTAAACGATACTGTTCTATAATACACTATACCATAATATAATATAATTTACCATACCATTTCTTTTATCTCCTTATTTTCCTTTATCTGGTCTGTGTGTCAGTGAATGAAGCTTTAATGAGTTTTGTTTGTTACTGTGTGATTGATGCAGGTCAGAAGTTGCTGGACTCTCTGGCAGAGACCTGGGACTTCTTCTTCTGCGACGTCCTCTCCATGCTGCAGGCCATCTTCCATCCAGTCCAGGTACAGAACTACCCCTCAGAGTGGCCTGCTTTGTAAACAAACATTCATTGAAGGATGGTTGCTAAATCTCATTTCCGCTCTGTGTCCCTGATTGATGACTTCAGGGTAAGGAGCCGTCTGTCAGACAGCTCGCTCTGCTTCACTTCAGGAACACCATCGTCCTGAGTGTGAAGTTAGAGGACGCTCTGTCTCGAGCTCGAGCCCGCATACCCCCCTCTGTTACACAGATGCTGCTTATTCTACAGGTAGGCAACTCAACACATTGTTTCTGTTGGAGCGATTTCATTGTTGTTAGAATTAGTTTTGGTATTTAGTTTACTAATATTTGGGTGTTGTAGTTTATTTAATTATTCTACATGTTTTCTTTATTTAGAAAAGATTTTGGGTAATGTTTTCTTTTGTTATTTGTTTTGTGAATTTAGTTTTGCATTAGTATTTTTGTTAGGTATTTGGGTAACACTGTGGGCACCAGAGGCAGGTGGAGGACCAGCATGCACCTGGGTCGGCCTATGAGAGGCAGCAGGAGCCACGATTTTCTTTGTTCTTTTGTTTGCTTTCTTTTGAACCAAAAACCGCAGATCTCTTGCATGGACGTTGGATTTCTTTTGACTGCGTACATCACATCTCCCATGGTGCATCAGTGGTCATTTGAATATGTTTGATATTAGTTTATTTAGATTTTTTTTTGTTTTTGGACAAATAGCCACGACAGTTTCCTTCATCAGTTGTCACTTCTTCTTTCTTCTCCTCTCTAAATCATGTTTTAGACTTTTACACAGGGAAGTTTGTGACTGCTGTTAGACGTTTATCAGAGGTGGTGAAAACACTTTATAGACACGAGACTTAATGTCACAAAAAGCTCAGATTATAAATAAAACATTTTAATTTGTAGTCAGTAAAGCAAACAGTTTTCTATTATCAAGTGTCCTCTCTTTTTATCTTCTTCATGGACTATTTTTCAGTTGCAAGTCAAAGATTCTTTTTCTTTTTAAATACTTTATTGCAGGCTGTTTTACTACATTACAAGATGTCATATTTCATCACATATTTTCTTCATCCTGGTACATTTTAAAATATAATTTTATAAACATGCAAGAATACATACATGAATTAAAAGAAAATATAAAGAAAAATCCAAAGAAAAGGCACGAAGAAAAAAAAGATAATTACATTAAGTCAAAGGTTCTTGATGTTAATAATATACTTTATATAATGTTCTTTTAAAATAACAAGTTTACAAAGCACCTTATTAACAAAGACAAACTACTGGGAGCTCAGGAAACAAGAGTTTGATGCAATTAGAAAAACTGAATCAACATAATTGTTTGTTTTTATTTTTAATGGAAAAGGAAGTGTTGGAAGTGTTTCAGATTCCAAAGTGACATTTTATGTGACTTCATTTTATTCCCTGTTATTTTTCTTCTTTTGATAATAATAATAATAATAATAATAATAATAAACTTTATTTGTATAGCACCTTTCATAAAAGTATTGCAGCTCAAAGTGCTTTACAGCAGAACAAGACATAAAAAGAGCATCACATAATAAAATAACACAAAATAAAATTAATTAAAAAAAAAAAGTAAATGGCATTAAATATTTGAAATTTGCATTAAAAAGGCATAAAATAGTATAAAATAGCAGTGATTGTAATTTCTTCTTTTTAATTATCCCCTAGTTATTCAATTGATATTACACAGAAAAAGACCACCTGAAAACTGTCAGAAGAAATTGATTGAAAAATATATATATATTATTTTGATTATTTTTCTATTCATCAAATTTGTCCTTGATTATTTTAGTTTTGGTCTTGATTTCTTCTGTACCAATGAAAAACAATGCATCAGCCTGTAAATCACTCTCTCTCTTCAGGGTGTCCACGAGTCCCGCGGTGTGAACGAGGAGTACCTGAGGCTCGAGTCTTTGGTTCAGAAGGTGGTCTCGCCTTACCTGGGCACCCATGGGCTTTACTCTGAAGACGGTGCTGAGGCCAACTGCTGTGTCTTGGGTGAGACAGTGTGGGGCAAATAAATGTAAAAAATCAGAGTTATAATAGTGTGTTTTTAAAGAAACATGTAACCTTTTCCTGTCGTCTTCAGAGAAGTGTTTGCCGTGGGGATGGCCAAAGTCTGCAGATCAACCGTCGAAGAACCCCGTGGTACGATCGAAGAGCTATAACATCCCTCTGCTGCTGACGCCGGTGGCCGAGTACGACCCCGATGCCGGCTCGGTGGGCAGTGGAGGAATTAGGCGCCACTCAGCCTGTGAGATCATATCGTGCCTGGAGGAGCAGGGACTGGCCTACGCTGAACTGGCCTCGGGATCTGAACTGTCTGGCCCCTCCTCCAACCGGCTGTGTGTGGCCTCTCACTTCAATGGTATGGCACAGATTAAACTGTCAGATGGAGGTTATTATAACAAAATACAAAAGTGGTATTGTAATGATCCATGATAATCCAGAGACCTTTCTCTTCACAGGGCTCCTACAAGCAGGATCGAGCGGCCTGAACCTGCCTCTCTCCTCTTCGTCCATCCTTCCCCTGCGTTCCTCAGGAGCTCTGCATGGCACAGAGGCTACCACAACAATGACTGATCTCAGCATGGGAGCATCCTCCACGCCGCCCAGTGAATCATCCAGCCCAGAAACCATAATTGGACAAGTGCTGGAGTCTGCAGACTCCGACTCCGACGGGATATTTATTGATTTTCCTCCTCACTCCTCGGAGGCTCTCGGGTACAGCCACGAGAGCAGACAGAGCACTGTGTAGCTGTGGTTTGCCTTTTTAGGAATGCACCTGCAGTGTGTGGGTAATCTGTGATTATTACACATTGAACAAAGCTTAATTTCATTAAAGGGGGTACCATCTTCGTTTCTTGCTGTAGTAAAAATGACTTTACAAAACGAATCCATTCCAAAGTGCTTTCAACAGCAAATGAAAACCTCTCAAGCCTTTTGTTCAACAAAATACAAAACCAATCACAGATCAACTTTTTTTTCAAGTTATGAAAGGACTTCAACGTTTCACCAGGTTTTCATCTGGAGGACACCTTATTTCTGGCATTAGCTTTTTAACCTGAGCTTTCAAAATGTCAGCCTAACAAGCAACATGAGGTTCCTACGGGATAAGTCTTCAGATATTCCACTTTTTTATTGACAGAGAAATCCCATAAAAAAAGACCAAAATCAGTAGACATTTCAACCCATAAGTATCTGGCCTGTAGCCAGATCCTGATTCCTTTCTGCTTCAGAAACTACTGAAAACACAACAGTGATTTTTGTGTCAAATAGAAATTGGTGACAGAAATAGTGTTACACTTTTTACTCCTGTTTAAGTAATATACTTGAAACTACATAACCCATCTGTTAAAAGAACTTATTCAGCTATTTCATATTTGAAATAATAAATTTGCGATACAATTTTAAGCAGATTTTCAGTCGGTCCAATTTAGTCAATGGTCAATAATTCTGCTTTTACCATAAAGGATTACAATTCACTTTATGGTAAAGGCATATTATTGACCATTGACTAAATTGGACCGACTGAAAATCTGCTTAAAATTGTATCGCAAATTTATTATTTCAAATATGAAATAGCTGAATAAATTCTTGCAGATTAAATAATCCTTAACCTAACGTTAAAATCAAGCCGGATCAACCACAATAGGAGTTATGAGGTTTTCACAGAGCATCGGTGTCTCACCTCTATTGAGGATATGGATGTTATAAATAACATTTTTATGGAAAATAAAACAAACTTTACATATTTGACACAGAATTGTTTTACGCGTATGAATTTGAAACTTTACATCTGATTTGTATTTTCTGTTTGCGCTTCGTTGCCTCTCATGAGCAACACAGTAACGGGGTTTTGCTCTCACTTTTGTACGACATATTCTGAACATGTGGACTTGTATTTTGTTTTCTTTGCCAGCGGCAATCATGGGTCTAATTTAAAATCTTGCAGCAAACATTAGTGTGACAGCATTTGCTTTTTTGCATTATCTGGATACAGCCGGAGTTTGAGGAGAATTCTAATGTTAATTGTTTACATTCGACTAAGACATGACCCATTTTGGATGAATGTCGTCTCACACACTGTATTTTGCACCACCACTACCTTGTACATAAAAGTGCATTGTTGTTTTTTTTAGGACAGCTAGATAGTGTAAAGTGAGCTTTAACCTTTAAATGAATTAAGATTTTATTAAGGGCTTTTTCACTCGATCTTTTTCAAATAATGTTTTACCTCAAGCGTTTTGTACTTGACTTTTTTTTGACAATCTATGATGTCTATGGAGTTGTACTTTGTATTAATTTGTTATACTAGCCCAGTAAAAAATTAAATACATTTGAACTGTATTTAAAAACGTGCGTTATCAATTCTGTTTTAAAGCAACTGTTGTATTATTCATGGAATTTGAATATTGCCATATGTTGAAGGATTTACTCAAACAATGTGCATGATTTGTCATTGAAAAAAGGAGATCTAAGGTTGTAGTTGGATTCAATTTTACAGTTTAGTCAAGCTCCGTTAGTCCACCTAGATTTAGGATTTAAAAAATACTGAGCACCCCAGTCTCACCTCCCATCAACAGATTAATACGCTTTAACCAGACACCAGAAAGAGCGATGATTCTTGGTACTCTAAATTGAGATTTCCAAATATTGCCCATCACTAATGTCTCATTAATAAAACCCTCTTAAGTTGAGTTTTAACATTTATTATGAACCGCAGCAATCCTAACTCAAGGTCTACTCGCTCAGGTTTATGTCAGAGCTCTCAGTCACAGTTTGTGAATTTTGTCACAATATGCAGATATCTGTGCTGTTATTGGTAAGATATTTAGTAAATGAAACTTACTTAAAGTTTGTATTTATTTTGTGATAAATACCCAAAGATTGCTAAACCCAGATTTTCAGAATAAAAGTGTTGATGGCCTGAACGTTGTGTTCTAAATAGTAGCTTAGTTAACTAATGCTTAATGTTTAAAAAGAGAAAACAGAAGGGAAGCAAGTATCTTTCAAAATAAAATCATCCAGTGTATTGTTTTGAAAAACACAAGATTCACAAAAAAGGAAAACACCTAAGAGGCAGATGTACATTGTGGACAACCTGAGTCAATGTATAGGCTATGAGGATGGAAGGAGGCTATTGGTATCAGTATTGAAGGAATTAAGCTATTTTTCACTTTAGAACATCTGTTTGGAGATGCATTGCAGGGTAACATGCTATCACCTAATTCAATTAAGTTGAAATAGAATTCGTATATCAGAATCAGAATTAGAATCAGAAATATTTGATTAATCCCAAAGGGAAATTCGATCGTTACAGTTTCTCCTAAATATTCAATATCAGGGCGGCTGTGTCTCTCAACCGGAAGGTTGAGTGTTCAATCCCCAGCTGGGCAACATGTCCGAGGTGTCCTTGGGCAAGACACTTAACCCTGCATTGCTCCCCCTGCTTCAGTGGTGGTGTATGAATGGGATTAGTTACTTCTGATGGATGATACTACATAGTGATCACTACCATCAGTGTATGACAGGGTATGAACAGGTGGGTGTGACATGTGGTGTAAAAGTGCTTTGAGTAGTCAGAAGACTAGAAAAGTGCTTTATGTAAGTTTATCCATTTATCAATATAGCAGATAGATACAAATATATAATATATATATATAAATAGTAATATAATATATTCATAAAAAATATATTTTATAAATAGTAAATAAATAATAATAGTAATAAAAATATTAATCAAATAGAATAGGAATGTAAGTAAGATTTCAATAATAGGTACAAGAATAAGAGTCAGATGGAATATATACACACATTGTATTTATTTATTATTATTATTTTTTATTATTATTATTATTTATTTATTTTTTTTTTGCGTTTTTCTTTCTCTTTTTTGTGTTTAAGTTTTTAATCTTTGTTTTGTTTTATTGATTTGTCTGTTAATCCACTCGCTCCACACTCAAGTCCAGTAGGTGTCGATGCACCTTCAAAGCTGGTTTGTCAACCGCCAACATAAAATCAAGAGAAGAAGAAAACGGCACCGCAGAGCCGGAAGTGAACAGTTGCAGTTGCCGATGACAACCGCTGCTTGAAGTAACAGACTGGAAAGAGCTAAGAGCTAAGTTGTCGCTTTAAACGAGTGACAAATAACGAAGTTGTTAGTTTAAGAGTTGGGATAGTAATAGTTGCTCCTTCCTGTCCCGAGTCGACTTGGTAAGACTTGTTTTTTCTCTGTATGTGTTCATAAGTTTGGGTTTCACAAGCTAACATCCGGGAGCCTCAGGTCTGAGTAGAAGAAACATCAGGAGGATTTCTGAAGCCTTGTTGTCTTGTTGTGGGGATTTTAATGACTGAATCAAGTTAACTCTGTGGGATATGACATTTAATGTATGATGACAGTGGGAATGTGTCTGCTGTGTGATTTAAATTGTGTATTTTCAGATCCCTGTGGTCCTCAGTCTCTCCTGTTGGGGGTCATCGGCTCTGCGCCTGTCCTCTGTAGATGAAGATGTCCCTGGCCCAGCGAGTCCTCCTCTCCTGGATCTTCGCCCTCATCTTCCTCATCATGCTCGTCCTCAAGCTGGACTCTAAGATCCACTGGAACTGGTTTCTCGTCTTCCTCCCCGTCTGGACCTTTGACACCATCCTCATCCTCATGCTCGTGGTTAAGATGGCGGGACGCTGCAAGCCTGACTTTGACCCCAGGGACGGCGAGCAGAGTCTGAAGAGGAGGCTGTGGTATCTGACGGCGCTGCTGCTGAAGCTGGCCTTCTGTCTGACTCTGTGCTCGCACCTGGAGAGGCTCTTTGAGACGTGGGTCAGTGTTGTGTGTGTGCCTCTGTGGGTGCTGCTGGGGGGGGCACTGGTGGAGCTGGGACACAGTGTTTTCCACTACCGGAGGGACTGAAGCAGAATCACCTGCAGTGGAAAAACTTATAAACTCCAGCGTCTCTGATTTAGGATGCACCAACCCATCCGGTGGATTGTCATCAGGAAACATATGACTTCATACACTTGGATGGAGTTTCAGTCAGTCCCGATTGATCCAAACATCAAAACTGTTTTTGTTTTGGGATAACAAACTGTTTAATCTGTAAGTCACACATCGGGTTAGGAGTGTTTAATAAGTTCTACACGTTGTGGAGAAAGTTGGAGCGGTGCATCCTTTTCTCTCACCACACTAAGAAGACTTGTTCAAACTGCATCTTTGTGAATGTTTCATGTGCACCACTCATTCATAGAATTAATATTATTTTTCTGCAAGAATTAAGAGTGCCTTTTGTCTCTCACTTTAAAATCACCACATGTACACACGGGTGAAGTAACGTTGTAACATTGGTTTTAGATCTACACTAGCTTGCACTGTGAGCCATATTAAAAAATGAAAGTACAACACGTAGCTTTTTAATGCTGTAAGAAACTTCAAAACCCCTCATGTGTCATACAGTCCACCTGTATTTAAGATTTTAAAAATACTGAGCTCCCCATCAACAGATTAATACGCTTTAACCAGACACCAGAAAGAGCGATGATTCTTGATACTCTAAATTGAGATTTCCAAATATTTAGTCTACAAATATGTTTCATTAATAAAATCCCCTTAAATCAACCACAGCAATCCTAACTCAAGGTCTACTCGCTCAGGTTTATGTCAGAGCTCAGAATATGCAGATATCTGTGCTGTTATTGGTAAGATATTTAGTAAATGAAACTTACTTAAAGTTTGTATTTATTTTGTGATAAATACCCAAAGATTGCTAAACCCAGATTTTCAGAATAAAAGTGTTGATGGCCTGAACGTTGTGTTCTAAATAGTAGCTTAGTTAACTAATGCTTAATGTTTAAAAAGAGGAAACAGAAGGGAAGCAAGTATCTTTCAAAATAAAATCATCCAGTGTATTGTTTTGAAAAACACAAAATTCACAATGTTTATTTGTCAGGACTCAGGTTAGCATATAGCAACCAAATTAGCATATCGCATTTCCCATGTGTTACATGGATGCTGATGTTTCTATGTATATGTTTGTTTTCACTACAGATTCAAACACATCCATTTAAAAGTGAACCACAGGTTAAATATTGGACGCATTAAAGGCTTTATGTGATTGTTTTGATCCAGCAGATGTCGCCCTTGAGCACCAGCATGAAACCAAAACAACTCACGCTGCATTGTTGTGTTAGCATGCTAATGCTAGCGATCTTTATTATGCTGGTATCTTCACACTGCATGTAAATTTACCTGAAATGAGCGTGATCTAGAAACACAGTTAAGCAGTGAGTACAGTATGTTATTCTTCTTTTCTCTAGTCCCTCAATTAAACAACTTTTATACACGAGGGGAGGAGTCAGCTGGCTGTCCAGGCGATGTAAACAAAGTGAAGATAGGACTCTGAAAACATCACAGACAGTGGGACTCGGGTGTTACACCCATTGTAGACAGAGTTATTTTCAGAGGAGATACTTGATTTATATTGAAGTGTGAAACATCACATATAAAGACTTTAAAGTTTGATCTAGGAGTTAACATGAAAAACGGATGCCTGGTGCAAATCTTTTTAAATCGTTATTTTACAAAGAAAGGGGGCTTACGGCAAATATTAGCTAAATGATCAACAGTATCACCAAACAACCCAACCCTAATCAGTAACTCCTTCTCTACTGTCCCTCTAAACTGCAGTTTAAAAAAAATATCCTTGGCTGTGTGCAAAGTTGGGATTCTGTCATAAACAGCTGCTGTTAGGATTTCTTTAACCTGTGATCACATTCTTTTTTAAGACCGTTATTGCATATATAAACCATTATTTACAATATGTCACACCCTGCCTGCACTATTCTACATATTTAGCACTTTGGCATCTTTTAAAAACCTGAGTTACTAAACCAAAATCTTCCTCTGCGTCGACTTAAGCCACCAAAGAAGCTAAAACTGATCTTATTAAAACTGTAGTGATGACATGCAGGAGACAAACTCAAGTCGATATTTTTGAACCATTTATTGAGAGGTTCTGATCAAGAGTATAAATCACACTACCAAGTCTTATCTTAAGAAATAAAATGTATTTACAACAATTTTTTTTCACATACATTGGTTTCAAATAAAAACAGACGGTAAATGATATAAATAAGTTCTATGGAAAATAAAACTTGTCTTACAAAAAATATATGCAAATTTCTGTATACATTTTCTCACATTGGTGCTAATAACATCTATACTGTACAGTTTTGGTACATACAGTATCATTTACAGCCCTGTGTGAGTCAAACCACTTCCAGTCTGAAAACAACTACTTTTTTTTGCCAAGATTTTCTGGAGTGTTATAAACAACAAACTCCCATCGAGTAAAGCAAAAAACGGCAAAGAGCATTTCAGAATCAGCCCCCGGTGACGTGCTGAAATGTCGGATACAGTGAACGTAAAAATTTCCTATCGCAGGTAGCAAGGATTGGTTGTTTTCAGATCGGTTAGTCCAGTACCTAAAATAGGATTCTTCCAAGAGAGAAGCTAAGTAGTGCACAGGCACTGACACATGGGGTCACATAACATTTTTATATAGAGCCTACATTACATTCGCTAACAAACGTGAAGTGAGCTACTTAGCTTACATTCTTAGGCACTGATAAAATACTTGGAGAGTGCATCCTCTTTTTCCCTGCGTCATTGGACTTAAAGGCTTTATATGCCAGCATGAAACCAAAACAACTCGCGGTGCAGTGTTGTGTTGTGTTAGCATGCTAATGCTAGCGATCTTTATTATGCTGGTATCTTCACACTGCATGTAAATTTACCTGAAATGAGCGTGATCTAGAAACACAGTTAAGCAGTGAGTACAGTATGTTATTCTTCTTTTCTCTAGTCCCTCAATTAAACAACTTTTATACACGAGGGGAGGAGTCAGCCGGCCGTCCTGGCGATGTAAACAAAGTGAAGATAGGACTCTGAAAACTCTGAAAACATCACAGACAGTGGGACTCGGGTGTTACACCCATTGTAGACAGTCATGACTCACAGAGTTATTTTCAGAGGATATTCTTGATTTCTACATTTAAGTGTGAAAAATCACATAGAAAGACTTCAAAGGCTCATATCTTCAGTTTGTTTAATTGAGGGACTAGAGAAAAGAAGAATAACATACTGTACTCACTGCTTAACTGTGTTTCTAGATCACGCTCATTTCAGGTAAATTTACATGCAGTGTGAAGATACCAGCATAATAAAGATCGCTAGCATTAGCATGCTAACACAACAATGCAGCGCGAGTTGTTTTGGTTTCATGCTGGTGCTCAAGGGCGACATCTGCTGGATCAAAACAATCACATATAAAGCCTTTAAGTGTGTCAACAAAGTAATGCACCCGCTCGTCAATTATTACAAATTAAAAAAAAAAGACCAGTTGAAGTCTGAAGCGAGGATGCATCTTCAAGTACTTTAACAAAGCCTCTGCGCAAAGTTGTACAGTAAATAAAAAGAAGACTTAGACATTCATATTAAGAAGTCTTTCTGTGTTTGGGGCGTGTGTGTTTTAAGGGGCTGTTTTAATGAGTGCTGCTGCGGCCTCGTGTCCTGTAAGGGCGTGGCGGGTTTCCCCTGCGTCGAGTCCTTTACTTTTGGTCCTTTCGAGGGCACAAGTGTCCGAGAGTCAGAGCCGGGCTTTGAGGAGGAGCCTCGAGAGTCACCGTGATGATGGTGGCTCTTAGGTCGACTGTCTGTGAAGGAAAGGGCCAGAGTCTGGTGAGCCTCCATGGGCTTAAAGAGGTCGAAGGTGATGAGCGTCCGCGGCTGTTTGTGTTCTGGCGGCGGCGCGGCGGCAGGCTTCTTCCTCTCCTCTTTACTGTTCACGTCTTTCTCCTTCTTTCCTTCCTTCTTAACCTGAGCGCTCAGAGGTTTTTGAGCTACCGCCTTCCCGTCCTCTCTCCCCGACTTCGCCTGCGCCACGCCCGACGCGTTGCCCTCTCTCTGCCCGCTCTTCTCCTTCTTCCCGTGAGACGACTTGTGTTTATGCGAGCTCGCGTCTCGAGCCTCCTCTCTGTGAGACGCTCCCTTCCCGTCTTTATCGCTCCCCGCGTGCTCTCTCTCTCTCTTGACGTGGGGCTGCGTCTTTGAGTCCCACTCCTTTGAGGCCCACTTCTCGTCTCTGTGCGCGTGCAGGGACGTCTGAGAGGCTTTGCCGCCCTCTTTCGTCCGCTCGTCTTCCTCTTTTTTTCTGCTCGGCTGCACAGGCTGCGTCGACGCACCTCCCTCGGTCTTAAATCTCTCCTGCTCTCTCACCTTGTCCCTGTCTTTCCCCTTGTCCTTTTTATCCCTGTCCTTCTCTTTACTTCTCTCCTTGTCCTTCTTCTCTTTCACCCTCTCCTTTTCATCTTTATCCCTCTTTACTTTATCTTTTTCCTTTTTGATTTGATGCGTGTTGTAAGTGCTGGCTATGTTATCTTTAGTTTTCTCTTTCAGACCTTGACCCGGTGTCGTTGTCTTCAGCTGCCTCTCTTCCTCCAGGTCGTTCTCCTTCCTCACTTGTAGTGTCTTTAAGGTTGCACTGTCCACTCCAGCCTCCTCCTCCTGCAGCGTCTCTGCACCTTCATCTCCCCCTCCCTTACTCTCCCCGTTCTCATCTTCCTCAGCTTTGGGCTCTGTTAGTGTACGAGTGACTACATCTTCATCGCTCTCCTGTTTAATGGAAGGTAGAGACTGTGTTGTTGACACTTCTTTCGGCTCGGCGTTCTCCTGCTCTTCTTTTGTAAAAGCCAGCGTGTGAGCTCTCTCTCTTTCCTCAGCATACATCTCTTCCTTTTTTGTCACTGTATCCACAACTGGGTCGCATGCCACCTCCTCCAGCTCCTTATCATCATCATCATCATCTTCCTCCTCCTCCTCCTCCTCCTCCTCCTCCTCTTTGATATGAAGTGGTTCTTCTCTGGGTGCACACTGGTCCTTCTCCTCCTCCTCCTCTTCTTCATGCTGGTGATACTGTTGGAGTCTGATGTGCCAGGCCAGACTGCAGACAGCGGACACAGTTTTGAACTGGTGGACGACTCCTCTGGGGATGAAGTAGATGTCATCGTGGTAGAGTTGTATCCGAGCGTATCGGATCCCCTCCCTCCTCAGCTGGTTCAGCTTGGCATCGTCAATCCACTGCACACACTGCGGGGGAGCAAAGGGAACACAAAATACTTTCAGTAATCCCTGGTTAAAATCATCAAATTTTCAATTCTAACATTGTAGTAAAAAAAAGATCCTCATGAGAACACTCTACACTGATAACACAGTCAACATGTTACAGGTCGAGAGAATAAGCTCTGAAGTTTTTATTTCTTTTGCATTTGAAATGTATTACTTGACGTTTTTTGACACTAGAGCAGTGCTTCCCAAAGTGTGGGCCGTGGCCCCCTGGTGGGCCGCGTGGATACTGCAGGTGGGCCGCAAAAAGACCTCCACCAATTTTAAAAATAAATATCACAATAATTTTGATTTACCATGAGTCAACCCTTTAAGTGATTAGTAAGGTGTGTCATGACTATTCATGGACATAATGTTTAGTGAACTTTTGTGTCTATCTTGCCATAATATCATGTTGTCATGTCCAATAATTTACCCTTACTGAAAGTTATAGCAGTAGTCATAAAAAAATGTTTTATAACGAGCCATGGAGGAATTTTGTATTTCAAAGCGGGCCGCGGCTGTCTTAAGTTTGGGAGAGGCTGCACTAGGGGATACAATTGTAAAAACAAACTTTACTTATTCAAATTGCATTTATAGAGTTGATTTGAGTGTGCAGCAGAGATAGGACATGTTTCTGGCAAGCTGGCAAATTCAGGACAAATATCCACTCTCCTTTATCTCAGTGTTTAGTGTCCACAGGCTCCATGTCTCTTCAGCACCTGAATACTCTCATATCATCAGTGTTTGCTGCCTCCGGCTCTTTGAGGTTTGTTCTGACAAACGGAAACATTTGTTTACGTCTATTTAAATCCTTGAATCCTACCGGGAACAACTTAATAAATGCAACCCACCTGGGACAGAGGAGGTTCATGGAGGTCCAGCTGCAGCCTCATGACCACATCTGGGAAATCTCCAGCGTGGAAACACACGACATCTTTGGTGATCCGGGCGGGAGCGTCGCTGCTGTAAGGCAACACACAACAAAGTCATTAGCAAGACTGTTTTAAAAAAAAAAAATGTACACACAACAATTGTAGAGTAAAAGGTACCACAGTGTATGTGCTAATGGTGGTTGAGGTGGTTAAATACATTGGGTCAGCTCCTACAGTTTTAACATTTTTATCCAGCGGAGGAAATGGGCTTCCCGTATTTAAGCTGTCAGACACAGCGTATACGTTGTATTTTTTTTTTTAATGAACATATTTTATTGCCATTTTACTTTTATTTTAAGGTTTCAGAACACATAACAATACAATGACACCCTACAAGTTTCCTATTAAGCCACCCAACCCCCCCTAACACTCCACCCCCACCAATAAGACACAACAATTAAAAACAATACTGATAAAATAAATTAAATAATAAGAGGTACATTGGTGCAAAATCAATAATACAGACAAGAAATAATAACAAATAAAAATAATACTAACACTGACAATCAAAATAAATAAATGAATAAAATAATAATAATAATAATAATAATAATAATAATAAGATTTGTCCAATTAAGGTTTTGCGTTGTATTCTAAACAGGCCTGTAAGTATTTGCATTAACTGTGTGAAGAGGATAAAGACATGTTACTGAGTACTCACTCCTCTCCGCAGCGCACAGCCTTCAGCACGCCCACAGCAGCAGTAGTCTGTCTCTCAAACCCCTGACCAATATGGTCAGCATGGGCTCTCGTCCGATCCTCAAACAGCATCTCCCGGGGCTCGCTGGCTCTGGGTAAATACTGCAGGTTCTTTATCTCATTGGTGGACCTGAAACCCAAATTTATTCCCAACAGTTAGAACTTGTTCAGGGATCAGAATCAGAATTTGGGTTTATTGCCAAGTACATTTACACATACAAGGAATCTGACTTGGTGTATTGGTGCTAAACAATTAACAAGGAAATAAAGCAGAACTAGCAACAATTTAAATAAACAGAATAAGAAGATATTACAATATATAAAATAGAATTTAAAAATGTAAAATAAAAAACAGAAAATTTACAAAATGTGCAATGTAGGAGCTGTGCAGTGGACTGAGAAAACAATCTTAATGTGTGTAATGGATGGTTAGATAGCTGTGAATGCAGGTGGTGCTTAAAGGTAAGATGAAAGTATTTCAATTCAAATATTTTAGGAATCACTATGACAGCCCACCTTTTCCTCTTGAAGGGTGATTTCGGCATGTCTGCCATCGGGATCATCTGCTCTCCGGGTCTGACCCACATGATGGGGCCGTCATCGCTCTCAGTGGGGCTCTGCAGCCGCAGACTGGAGAACGTGCCCCAGGGCAAAGTCCGCTGCGTTAACAGAGTCAAACACTTTTTTGTTATAGATTTATAGCCATTAACAAAAGAAACATAAGACAGGCTCTTCACAAGTCTGCAGACATAAACACACTAACCTCTAGAAAGGGAGAGTCCTCTAACATGTTTATGAACTCCGGAAAGTAGTCTCCGACCTCTTCGTCCACAGCCCCGACCAGACTGACCTGCCGCATGGCCCCGGCGCGGTACGTTCCCTGGGAATATGTCCGCTTCACCTGCAGGAGGGACAACCAATAATAAAAGGTCAGACCCATCTGATGTGAATTATTTATACTTTGACTACATCAACAATTAAAATTGAAATGTACTTCACTGACTGTTGAGACACGTTTAAAAAAATATGTTGTGAATATTTTATGCCTGAAAAATCATAAAAAAGACATGCACCTCCCTCGGTGGGTGCTGGATCTAAAACACAAACAGGTAAAGAAAAGCAAAACAACTGAATTGAAGTTTTATCAAAGGCTAGGACTGTCTGGGTTTTTAAGATAAATGGTGTTAATGTTTCTGTTCCTCTATTAAAGCACCAATCATTAGTAACAGCTTGGTAATAAACAGCAAAATTAAATGCAAAGATTTCTGTCTTGTCTTGTCATCAGCACTAGTTTCTTCTCACACAATATATAAAGGGGGTACCAAGGTCTGCCTCAACTATTTCATGTCCTTTATTCTTAAACGCTTCAATCCTCCTGTAGTAGACTCCAGGGCTGGGAATCTTCTCATGGGTGTCTCATTCAGGTCGATTCAGAATCTATTTTTGATTCAAAACGATTCTGGATTCATGACTCAAAAAGTCTATTTATGAATTAGTACATACTTCAGGATCTACTCCAGTCATCTGTGAGACTGGCTGAAATTCCTGCTGCTCCATTTGACATTCTACTGAGTTTAAAACTCTCAGGCATCAGTTTAATTTACTACCCTCTTAAGACACTAAGGACAACATGTCCATGCCAAAAAACTGCTATAAAAAAGAAACTATCCTGATAATTATTCAATATTTGATAGTTTTGAGCAGGGCTGAAGTTGTTTAAGAGATTTATGCAAAAAAAAAAAAGTGGAACAAAATATCAATCTGTTCTATTTTCATCGCAGTTTTTTGGGATGGACATGTTGTCCTTAGTGACTTAAGAGGCTAGTAAACATGTTTCACAGTGTTCTATTGATCTATTAAAAAAAATAAAATGTGCATTCAAAAATATGTCGAGAGAGACTTTCTTACAAAAAATGGTGCCATATGTACTAACACAGACAAAATGATGGCCAGACGAAGAGGTAAAATCTGACCAAATGGACAAAAATGTCATTGTGATGCAAGAGGGTTAAGAGTAGTGTATGTAGTGACTGATCAGCCCAAAAAAAAGAAGGTTTTTGGAAGTTATTAATCTATTTAAAATCTCACAAGATAAGAATCTCGATTTTTTTTTTTTTTACATAAATTGTTTTTTTTCCCCATCTTTAGTAGACTCCCTGTCCAGTTAGTGGTAAGAGTGCAATTCAATTGACTTTTCTGTTTACTCTTTAAGACTTTTATCCAGCTGCTGAGGGTCCTCGGTTAATTTAGAAAAAGAGATAATAGGGTGGAGGATGAAGGACATTTAGTGAGTAAAACTGATAATGTTCACAAGTTAGCATCAGCTAATGAAACAGAGTGAGCGTGTGGCATCGAGGAGGTCAATGGAAGGGATTACCGGGTTCAGTGTGAGTTCATTTGGCTGATGACATAAGAAGGCAAAAATTGTCTGTTATATCTGAATAAAAAGCTTTGTGTGTGTGTGTGTGTGTGTGTGTGTGTGTGTGTGTGTGGTGGACCTAAAGAGGAACGGGCAATGAATGATCTTAAGTAGCCATAGTCACATCAGGGCTTTGAGGATTTAAATCATTCATCTGCTGCGTGTTGTGTGATATGAAGAGTAACAGCGCTGCCCGTGTCTGTTCTGCTGTTCTCTTTTACAAACGCTTGATCTACTGTTTTATTTAATGTTGTGGATGAATGTTTTAAATGCCACCCATATGTGGTTGTGATTAAGGTTGTATAGTCACACGTTTTTATAAGCTTTGTTATGATTCTAGTAAAAATCAAACAATAACCATTCCTGTTTTGATACAACGGGGGAAAAGAAACCCAGCCAATATTTGTTAAATTCTTGAAGACCAAAGAAAAATGTTTTCCCCACCTTTATATTTCATTCTTAAATTGCAAGTGCTTCAGATTCCATTTATTTGTTTATGCTTACTTAAGTTTATTTCAATGAGAAATGCAGTCATAAGGGTCATAATTTTGTTGCAGACAATGAGGCGATTTCATTTTTACATCAGCTGGATTATGTGTTATTTTCATGAAAAAATACACATTTAAAAAAAAACTTCATTTGTATAACTGTTTCCCTTAATTTGATTATCTACACCTGGTTGAAATCATCGCTGATCGTGCCCAAGGGATTTTCTCCCAGTAGTCTATACAGAAAACAAGAACCCAATCGTTGAATCTTTGGAATTAAAACCAAGACCGTCTGCATTTCTGTTTTTATTCTGATTACTGATTGTTGTCTGTAGGCCATGTTTTCACTCTGGGACATTAAAACCGTCCGCTACACACACACACACACACACACACACACACACACACACAGCAAAATAATAAAATATCCTACCTGTAGAGTAAAGTCAATCATGGAGTACAAGTGACATCCAAACCATGAAGTACAAAAAGGTGCACTCCTGTTACACAACCAAACCGTTACTATTACACAACTGTGATACTGTCATATGAAGTGAATAAAAGAGGAGCATCATTCAGCAGGTAAAGGAGTGTAATGTTAGCCCCTTCATTACATCTTTGTACATTCACATCAATTCTTAGACGGTGTAATATTGGTGTCCTAGTCGGGGGAATTCACAAGCACTGCACAGCAGGCGCTCCAAATAGACACACGGTCAGACATGCACACACACATACACACACGCACATATACACACACACCGCAGCGCTGCCCTGCTCCTCCTCCGATGACAGTACAGACGGGGATCACTTTCTCCCCCCCCCCCCATGCCTCCCTCCCCGACATTCATATTTAAAGACCCAAACGTCACAGGGGCGTAAACATTGCGCCTTGAAACAGCATTCTGAATAGAGCTAATGACATAATGAAACGAGGTGCCAATTATGTCATATTTAATAGATTAAATAAAAATGAATCCAAGCGAGGACAGTCAAAGAAGAAGCACGAGCCCTGTCCTTGATGTGATGCATCGTCACAGGACGTGATGCTCTAAAACGAGAGGTGATTTAACACATTTCCCCTCCTGGGATGGATAAAGTATTTCTGATTCAGATTGCCAAAATGAAAACTGAAGCCCCACCCTGCAATGAAACTGTACTACTGTGCATATTTTAATACGACTGAATGCATGATGGGTTTCGACTGCACAGCTGCACATCTTTGCCCGTTATGAAGAAGACCAAAAGTTTGGTTGAGAAAGCAAGGGACTGCCACCAATAGACTTGAAACCAATGGGTGACATCACTGAGAGTTTTATACAGTCTATGCATACCTAATGCCCCCCCTTGCTATCAGATAGTGCAGTGCTTCCCAAAGTGTGGGCCGCGGCCCCCTGGTGGGCCGTGTGGGTACTGCAGGTGGGCCGCGAAAAGCCCTCCACCAATTTTTAAAATAAAATAAATATCACAATAATGATGATTTACCATGAGTCAACCCTTTAAGTGATTAGTAAGGCGTGTCATGACTATTCATGGACATAATGTTTAGGAAACTTTGTGTCTATCTCTCCATAATATCATGTTGTAAGGTCCAATAATTTACCCTAACTGAAAGTTATAGCTGTAGTCATAAAGATAAATGTATAACGGGCCCTGGAGTAATTTTGTATTTCAAAGCGGCCCGCTGCAGTCTTAAGTTTGGGAGAGGCTGAGATGCACAGACACCTGAAAACCCTCTGAAGCTGCTAGGTGTATATTAACAGCCAACACAGGAGGAGTTCAGGGGCAGTGTGTGTGACTGAAGGAGAGCATATGTGGAAACAGCTAGATCAACCTGGGGGAAACACTGATGAGGAGGAATACCCCGGAAACTCTGTCTCTCAGTGTGGGGTCTCGAGCTTGAATATTTATGAGGTTTTGCTGACCTAAATTCAAATAGATTTTTTCATGTTGAAAAGATGAAACTGTGTGTGGTATTTTTTATCCTATGTAACATTATTTAACTAAATGTTGACCAAGGTGGATCCGATTTCCTTATTGTGTAAATTTACAAAAGCTATAGATAATTATTAAGTTAATGTCTCGACACAAGACAATGGCAGAAATAATATCACCTCAAAACAGTGTGAGTCATAAACAGCTAAGAATCAACAGAAATATGATCAGAAGGACGTTTCAGGGAGAAGGAATTGTATTAAAATAGCTCTATTTTTAAATTAAAAAAAAGAGACTTTCTAATGAGGGAGAAGGAAAAAGCAAACTCTCAACATGTCATTACTTTTCTCGAGAGCAATTAACAGATTTTTTCCCCTTGTTTTTCTTACAAAAATGTGGATTGTGCATGTTTGCTTTCTTCGTTTTAAAGATGTAATACTTAACAGAGGGGCGGCTGCAAACACAAGAAGCGTTAATGATGAAGTGATTGGAATTCAAATGAAACTGTAGAGGAGTGGAGTAAAGATACTTTATAATTTATATCTTTTTGACAAGGTGATGCTAATGGGAATTTCGGACAGTCTGAAAAAAGGACGATAAAGCACATCTGCTCTTCTCCCTCGATGGGTATTTCTGGATCAGGCCCAACCCACCACTGCTCACCTCACCGTTTGATGACAGGTATCAGAGCAGTGTGCATCAGAATCGCCATAGTAAGAAAAAAACATGTAGAGAAAATACGAACATTTTTGAACCCCTATAGGACTCAGATGAGTAAAAATAAGTGAACAGCAGATGTAACTGAAGTGCATGTGATGTTAGCATCTATCCTATAAAAGCTTCTCACTGCCAGTGACTGACACGGTGAGTCATTAAACAAATAATAACGTCTGAGTTTCCAGTGTTTGGTTTTATTTTCTCGAGTGTAGGGGGCTCCAGGTTATGTCCAAAAAAAACTGCACATTCTTCTGTGTTTGCTGTCAAAACTTTCATTATGTTAATTAAGTCTGCTCTTCTCCGCACTCCAGGTTTTAGGTTTCTTTGCATCAGCCAGTTATTGAATAAAGCAGGTTCTTATGAAATGTAGGAAGCCTAGGGTTACGTTTTAATCTGAGATTTTACTGCACAGACAATTTATTTGGAGGAAACTCATCTTGGTAGAAGAATGCAATGATTTGCAATAGTTGTAAAAGTTGAGATCACTCATTTCAGCCGACTTAATACAAGTTAAAACTTTTTAAAGTGGAAGGGATCTGAAATAGTACACCCAGTGTCACTGTATTGCACTGTTACAAAGTGTGACATGGAATAATTGTAAACTTAAGAAAACAAAAATTGGAATGGAAATCATTTATCAAAAGGCTCTTCTAACAAACATTAAAAGAAAAGCTCTATATAAAACACACTTGGATTTAACAGTCTGAACTTGTGCTCATATTTTTGTTCTGGTCCCTGACTGCAAAATTCCTGTTGATATCTTTTCAATTTCACTCATATGACGGGATTTTCAGATTAGGACTGAGCACTTCATTGTTTGAAATTACAGAGGAATTATTTCATACCGATTCTGTACGACGTCAAGCAATTAAAACTCCAAGAATCAAGATCATAAAGTTTATTAATCGTTAACTTTACTGATACTGACTAGTGACTAAACTGGTGGAGAAGTGAAGAGATAACATAACAATAACCATCTATTACAGGGGGGGGGGGGCTTGTTTTCTCTTTCATATCTTTTCACACTGAAGGTACTGAATTTTTCAAAAACCAAATAATCAAAGTGCTATAAACAGACATCAGAGTTATTCAGTGTTAAGTGACAAAACAATGTGACGCCACATTACGGTACTCTGCTGTAAAAAGATATCCTGGATGCTGAAACACTTTCGAGAGCGGGAAAAAAAAAAAGAGATCTCAAGATGTGTGTGTGTGTGTGTGTGACGCTCTTTCCCTCAACAGTCTGGATAAAGACTGACAGAGAGAACTCAACACAAAGAAACTGTTGATGTGTTGTTTCAGCGTGTGAGTCTGAGCTCCCCACATTTTAAGACACTTCACACTATCAAAAGTGGACATTGCAGCATCCTCTAACATACAGAGCCCCCTCCTCAGTAAACAAGTCAACGAGAGAACTTAAAAACAAGACTCTTTCCCTTCTGAACTTTCATAAGACTTGGGATTGTTTTGTTAATTTTGTGAAGAAATTGATGAGTGTTCAGCAGATTAATTTTACATGTTTTGACTGACAACCTTCTGATTATTGTGCAACTGGAATTAGGGCTGGGCGATATATCGAGTTTTTAAGATATATCGATATATTTTCAATCCAGATATAGGGGAGGACAACATCGTTAATATCGATGTAGTTCATGTTGCATTAAAATAACGTTATACGCGTCTTCTGTAGAGCTGCCAGTTCCTCTCTCTCTCTCTCTCTCTCTCTCTCTCGCCCAGCCCTAACTGGAATCTCCACCTCATCATGCCCCCCCCTTTTTGTAAGTCTGTGTGTGTCTCTTTATCTCTTGTCCTGTCTGTTGTCTGTATGCTTGTTGTCCTTGTGTTTGTTTGTTTTTGTACTCTCATGCTTTCTTCTGGACTTTTATTAGTTTCCACTAATGTTCACATTAATTTCTGTATCGATCTACTCTGGATGTTTTGGGTTTAAATGTGCCATCTAATTTGCAATGTGAACATGCATCCGAGAAAACTCAATAAAAATAATTTTGAGGGGTGCTGGTGGCGCAGCGGTTTGTGCACGTGGCCCAGGTTCAAATCCGACCTGTGGCTGCTTTCCTGCATGTCGTTCCCTACTCTCTCTCTCGCCCTGATTTCTGACTCTATCCACTGTCCTGTCTTTCAAATAAAAGCCCAAAAATAAACCTTTAAAAAAAATAATTTGAAAGAAAGACTGTTACCTGAGAGTAGAAGTTGACCATGGTTGTCGTCTCGATGTCCTTCTTCCCGAGCACCTCCATCTTTACTGGCGCGTTGGGAAACTTGTAGGAGAAGTAGTCCAGGAAGTCTGGGAGGTAGGAAGCAGCTCCGTGTATAATCCCCATCACAAAACACGCGGCCTGGGCGTTATCCTCGCTGAACGACAGCGTTACAAACTCCTGGGCGAAACGCTGCATCTCGGCGGGGGACAGGCAGGAGAGCTGATCGGTGTAGGCGTGCGCCACAGACGCGCCCCCGTTGGCCTGCTGCTCGATGTGGATCAGCCGGCCGAACTCCAGACCGGAAAGGCCCGGCTCTGGGACGCAGTGCAGCGGGGAGCTGTAGCAGAGTCTGTCTCTGACGATGGAGGTGATGGAGGCAGAGGTAGCGGCGAGATCCTGTTGTTGTTGGTGTTGTGGCGGCGGCGGCGGCGGCGCTGCTGCAGCGTGGAGTAGACTGCTGCTGTTGTTTCCATTCATTCGACCGAGGAAGTCAGGCAAACCCAAGGACACTCCCGAACAAACTGTTTGACATGAGCGATGGTACACTTTGGGTCGACTGTGCCTCTCCTTCATCCGCTCGCCGTCTTTGTGCTTCTTTTTCTTTTTCTTCTTGAGCTTCTTCAGCAGGAGGTCGTCCTCTGAACCGTCTTTGGGCTTCTCCTGACAATCTGTGAGGGAGAGAACAAAATGTTTTGATTCAGAACAATCAGTCAGAAAATTAAGTAACTATATTGTCTGTATTTTTTTACACTTAAATGTGATTTTTTGATCCAGCAGATGTCGCCCTTTGAGCTCCAGCATGAAACCAAAACAACTGGCGCTGCATTGTTGTGTTAGCATGCTAATGCTAGCGATCTTTATTATGCTGGTATCTTCACACTGCATGTAAATTTACCTGAAATGAGCGTGATCTAGAAACACAGTTAAGCAGTGAGTACAGTATGTTATTCTTCTTTTCTCTAGTCCCTCAATTAAACAACTTTTATACACGAGGGGAGGAGTCAGCCGGCCGTCCGGGCGATGTAAACAAAGTGAAGATAGGACTCTGAAAACTCTGAAAACATCACAGACAGTGGGACTCGGGTGTTACACCCATTGTAGACAGTCATGACTCACAGAGTTATTTTCAGAGGAGATACTTGATTTATATTATATTTAAGTGTGAAAAATCACATATAAAGACTTAAAGTGTAAATCATGGACATTTACACACGTGTAAAGGTTTTTGTAGGAACTTTAACATTTTGATGTTCTTTAATGAAGACATATTTTATCACATTTTGTAATATTAATCTGTTTAAATGAATTTGACTTAGTTTCCACAAGTAGTTGTTGTAAATAGTAATTTTAGAAAAGTTGCCTCAGTCCAACCAGGTGAAAACATATAAATCAGACTTTTGTAATAAAAGTTGTGACTAAAAGAAAACAAAAATCCCATTTGTTCACTGTCACATTTCATCCTCACCTTCCTGTGGAGAAAACACTTCTCCGTTTTCTCTTGCAATGTCATGTAAAGGTGGCGTTCTGTGATTTTTCCACTCTTTAGACTTCTTCTTCTCCTTCTCCTTCACACGGTGATCTGTGCAGAGAGCAGGAGAGGAGACATCCGAGCTGAAGCAACACAACTGACGAACAAACATTTCCACGTGTATATATCTCTCTCTCTCTCTCTCTGGGCCTAATACACACTCAGGCCTGTGGCATGGGGAAATTACATAATAACATTTAATGCATTTTATTGCATTAGTGAATAACATGGAGATTTAAATTTGAGCATGAAGTGGTTTAACATAGAGCTTTAATGAGCAGGTTGGCTGTGCCTTGCTTACCTCTCTGTAGCATTTTCATGTCGCCGTTCTCGGTCTTTGTATGGCAGCTAGCAGGGCTCAGTCTGTCCACACTGAGGGCTGAGCTCCGCTGCGCCTCACTGCGTTTCTCCTTCTCCTTCACTCGTTTCTCTTTCGCCTTCTTCATTTTCGGCGGCGAGGCGAGGAAGTTGCTGATTTTGAAGATTTTCCGAGCGGGGGTCACTGGCACCGCGGCGGCGGTGGAGTGGCTCGCCTTGGCCGGGCCGAAACTCCATTTCGCTGGGCTACCACAACTCTGCTTCCCGTTGTGTTTTTCCCCTGCGCACACCTCTCCGTTCAGTTTCCTGTGCTTCAGGCCCTTCTCCTCCACCCGGACCTTCTTAGGGGGCGGCGGGTAAATGTCGCTGGAAGACTGCGGTCGGCACTCCGGCGGCCGTTTAGCTATCAGGGGTTTAGGTGAATTTGTTTTGCTGTTTGCTGCGAAATGCATGGAGTCCACGGCCTCAGCCATCTTGGAAGTTTCTATTTTTTACGGTAATACGTAACTGGTACGCGAGAGCCAGCCCGGGGGCGGAGCTTAGAGGGTTACGTACGACGCACGGAGGGAGGGAGGGAGAACACCAGACAGGATTGTTTACAGCCTGTAGGTCAACAAACCTATGAGGGACAAAAAATGACTAATGTATAAATAAATAAATAAATGCATCAATAAATATATAAATAAATATAGAAATGCTGAAAACTATGAGGGACAAAAAATGACTAAAGTATAAATAAATAAATAAGTGTTGGGAGAAATGCATACAATAATGTATAAATAAATAAATAAATAAATGTTGGGAGAAATGCATACAATAATGTATAAATAAATAAATAAATAAATGTTGGGAGAAATGCATACAATAAAGTATAAATAAATAAATGTTGGGAGAAATGCATACAATAATGTATAAATAAATAAATGTTGGGAGAAATGCATACAATAATGTATAAATAAATAAATAAATGCATCAATAAATATATAAATAAATATATATATGCTGAAAACTATGAGGGACAAAAAATGACTAAAGTATAAATAAATAAATAAATGTTAGGAGAAATGCATACAATAATGTATAAATAAATAAATAAATAAATGTTGGGAGAAATGCATACAATAAAGTATAAATAAATAAATGTTGGGAGAAATGCATACAATAATGTATAAATAAATAAATAAATAAATGCATCAACAAATATATAAATGTTGAAAACAATACATCAATGAATAAATAATAAATACACTTTGTTAATGAAAAAGGCTATTTATATATTTTTACATGTATTTATTAGCGTATTTCTACAGTTATATATGTATCAATGCATACATTTCCACATTAATTGAGTTATTAATTTATTTCCGTATTTTTACATTTACACATCTATTTATTTCTGTGTCCAGGTCGTAAGAGGAAAAGTTTGTATGTAAATTTGTTTCTGTCTGTTTTTCAAAATTGACCAATCCTACTTCAGTAATGTTAGGACGGCCCACTTAATTTACATATTTACTTTTCCTTGTACAACATAGGCACAGAAATACATAAATATATGAATATATTTATTTATATATTTATTGATGCATTTATTTAATTATTTATTTATTTATACATTATTGTATGCATTTCACCCAACATTTATTTATTTATACTTTAGTCATTTTTTGTCCCTCATAACAAACAGCACTGCACTGTAATAACTGATCACATAGACCGACTACAATGCTACCACGAATACGTAAGAGGTCAGTATTTGAGATTAGTTACTCTTCCTTCTTTTTCTTTGCAGCTGGACTGGAAAATCTGTTTTATTTTTATAGAATAATAGAATAGAATAGAATTACTTTATTGATCCCAAACTGGGAAATTGTGGTGTTACAGCAGCAGGTTATCCAAACACACAATATTAGCAAATCTAAACACAATATAATATTAAATACAAAGTAAATAAGCACTAAAAATATCAAAACAAAAAATGGGAATATATACAACCAGGATTTAACTAAACATTACTAGTCTTAAATAAGAAAAGATTAAATACAACATACTTTGCTGGAGGTAGATGGAAATTTACCTCCAAATATTATAATTTTATACGTAATTGCTACAATTAGCCTTGAGTCACTTAACCAAACAATGACCCATTCTGTATTAGAACTCGGAGTATTTATTCATGTAAAGAATATATTGCAATAATAATAATTCAAATCATTTATAGGGATTACTGACACTCAGTATAGGCTACTATATTTACAAAAATCTAACTTGTTTAAACTATTATTATTAGACAACAGTCTTATAGGCTATTTAAGATATTGTTTAATTTTTTTTTATCATTATACATTTTGTTTCTTGATGCTTGTTTATGAAGTAAAGAAAAGTCGGCTAATATTTACTAATGCAATTTTGGAATAAAAGCTTTCTATGAAAATAAACCTCCAGACATTGCATAGGCTACTTTTAAAACTATTGATTGGTGCACTGTAACAACAAGCAGATTGTTATGTCAACATGTAAATGCCTATAACACATTTTATTTTATAAGTGGATCTTGAAAATTTGCCATACAGAACAAATAAACTGACAGTAAATGTATCAGCAAAGTATTTTATGCACATTTGCTGTGAAACAGTTTCACTTGAATTGCTGTTTGCTGATATTCATTACTACAGCATCACTCTCTCTCGTGACATTGCTTAAATATCTTCATGGTTGTCTTTCTGAATTCTGAGATATTTCTCTACACTGTCACTAGGTGGCAGTCTAGTTTGGGTTATCCGCTGTAGAGTATTTCTTCTCTCAAAACAAATATTGCACAATGTCTGGTTAGTCACTCTGTTTTTGCATCCAAGATCTATTTTTTATTTAATGTCATTATATCATTGAATATTTCACATGATGAAATAAAGTTATCAGTTTGTTATGACAGGAAACATAAACAAATCCTGCAAGCACGAGTATGTTTATTTTGCTTCATTTGTTCATATCACCACTTACTCAGAAATCAGATTGGTTTATCTCTTATGGGCTAAATAGTTTTTGTGTGAATGTTGGGACACTTGACATTTGCAGAATAATAATATTGTTATTTTTGGTTACCATGACTACAAGAAGAGGGAGAGATTAGCTCTATTTGGAAGCTACACTGTAAAATAAACACTAGTTTGCACTTTAAAAAGGCGGCCTTAAAACTTTAAGTTGAATTTGAGATGATAAGTTGAGATACATTTGAATTCATTCGAGACAAAAAACATTCCAAGACTAACTTAGTTTATTTAACTTTTTTATTTACATTTAATTTCTGCCACATTAAATGTGAATTAGTGACCGTGACACTGCTCTAGATATCCACATCATATAATATTCTCTTTTTTATATATTTATACTTTCGTCAACTTAAATATTAAGTATACCACTTTGACTCACATTCTTAATTCCAATTTAATTATTTTTGTAACTCATAATAGTGAGCCATGCTACAGCAGCGGAGTCACACGAGGAACAAAACATCTTGAACTTGAAAGTTTTACATTTTAACATGTTGAGATGACATAAATATAAAACACTGAGTTATCATGACATGTACACTTATTCCTAGTTTAAATGACAATATATATAAAAGTTACCAAGACTAACTGTATTTACAGTTTATAGGTCACTTTTCACTTAAAAAATTGTAAAAAAATAAACATATAAGTTGTAGGGCTGAAAAAAAAAAAATTTAAATAAAAGGGTTGGATATAAGTACCATCACTTAACTAGCTTCTATAGTATAAATGTACCTACAATCTATTAATCCATACATAACATATTTTATAGTTTAACACCTAAAGGGGTCAGTTATCTACTTTGAGTTGTTTTATGTTTTAGTAATTGTGTTTTTGTCAATTAAACTTTATTAAGTGGAGTACTTAAACTTGTAAGCATTTGATCATGTTGTGATATAAAGATTACTCAAGTAAATAAACTATCTTTCACTTTTAACATCCAGACTTCTGAGTGGAAAAAAAAGGCAAGTTGTTTTTCAAATACAATAATTTTTACAAGCCTAATGGACACTCCAATAATGACGTAAAAATGAGTACAGGGAAAAATAAGTAGGTCAACAAATCTTAGTTATTAGCTATAAACTTAGTCACACCTTCCTGTGCATTGACATCCAGTCCATCCACATGGTTTGTATTAACCACAGCTGGGAAAAAAAAGACTGCAGCCCAAAACCAATCAGTATAAACATCAGGATATGATATAAAATAGAATCTTACCCTTGAATTCCTTTACGGCAACTGTCTTTATAGAAAGAGTTTACTGCTATAAAACTAATTAAAAAAAATATAAACCAATTGAAACTGACTAAAGAAAATTCCACATTACTCCTGCTCTCTACACCCTGAATAAAAAGGAGGATTCTTTGATATACATTTTTTTTTTTAAATCCCTTAATTAATCCCAGGCTTTAGATTAGAAATAAATGGACCTGACTTTATCCTGTGATGTCTAGCGGAAGAAATCCAGCCCAGATGTTAGAACACTTGGTTGTGACTCACTATCAATCAATTGACAGATACAAATCATCTTCACACATGGCAAAATGAAGTATCAGTTACAGTGGAATTAAGGAATTGGCAATGAATAATTCACTTGATTATAAATATGTGCATGTGTTTGAGAATGAGCGTGTGTGTGTGTTATTAACAGTACAAATGCGACCATTAAAAATGAATCCAAACTGATTCAAAAGATGAAGTCAGGTGGTGCATTGTAAAGCCTAAGTTAAATTCTGTTTATTTGTTCTCAGCATGCAAACAGTGACTCACTGGAAGAGTAATATTTAGGTAGGATTGTACCTTCAGGCAAGTGTGGTGTTATAACAGGTCGGTGGTGGGTGCTGCATGCGGCACAAAAGTCGCTGGGTTCACTCCAGTTTGGGTTTGGAAATGGGACACTTATGCAAATAACAGACATGAGCGACGACATTGGCTCCTCTGCCCAAAGTGGAGCGAGATGAAGTGCTCTGCCAGGAAGCCCAGGCAGCAGAGCTGGACTGATGGGTCAGATGTTTGTTCTAGTCTGCATGGAAAAAAAAAAGCACAGTGTTTACACGATCGGGGATAAAGAGTGGGCTGAGCCAGCTCACCGGGGGGAATTCAAAACACTGGATCTCAAGAGGGCACACAGAGGAGGAGAGAAAAAAAAAACTGCTGTCCATAAATGGGTACAGTCAGGAGTGAGGGTATAACAATAGAGACACTCGCTGTGCTTTGCTGCTGATGAAAACAGATTTTTACAAATTCAGAGCGAGTCTTATGAAATTAATCAACCCTGTTGGCCTTTATCAACTGCACCGATCAGTTTTGTTCTTCCTGCAGACCTTGCAGCAGGTCAGCTTGTTGTGGCTAAGCAGTGACTCTCTGAGGCTTTTTGCTGCTCGGCTATGGAGTGAATATTCAACTCTGATAACAAATCAATACGGCCTGTGCAGACAGAAGTTCCTCTTGAGTGTAAACATTTCTCTCATAATATTTGTAGGCTGATGAAGTGCTGAATGGATTGTGAAAGCTGAAGTGATACTTGTTCTTGTACTTTTATCCTGCAAACAGCTGCCAAATGTCAAATGAGCTCATGGCTGCATTAGAAGAGAAGAAGAGAAGGAGGGGTACAACAACAACAAGCCCTGTAGAGCATGTTTGGATAGACAGATATACCGCCTGTATATTCAAAAAAAGATAAGGCTGTCGAGCTGAAATATGAGACAGTATCTTTTGCAAAGTAAAATGACAAGTTGAATGTTGAATAAATGCATTTTAAAATCTTCTTTAAAATGTTGTTTGTGCAGATGTAACAAACATGCAGGCCAGATCTGTTCTATCATGAGCTGTTTTCTTCGACCTTTTCTTTTCTTTTTTCATAGCCAACTTGATACTTCCCACAATCCTCTTGCCAAACAAATGGTTTCCTTTGTCATTACAAAAGGCCAGCTGAGAAATCTCTCTGTGCAGTCGGAGTAACAGGCCAGTAGTGCAAGAGACAAGAGAAGAAAAAAATGCACCAGGGTCATGTTTCTTTTGCAGTCTAAAAAAAACAAGACAACTCAATTGCGGTCCAACAAGTGCTAAAGATGGACAAACTTCTAAACAGGCTGGCATTGTGCTCTATCACTCATATCTCATATCCCTGTGGTGGATCTGACATTTACACCCAACCAGTCTGAGTAACTGAAGCCTCATTATCTAAACTCCCCGCCAAGCAGATGCCTCATTTAGCTCATGTGACTGTAATTTCTTGCTTTTTCTTCTGACTGTATGTAGACACAATAAACTAGAAAAGAACCAAACACCTGGATGAACGGAGAGGGAGACACACAAGAGAGATTGCCTCACTAATCGTAGCATTTGTTGAGGATTAGTACCGTCTGAATTAAAGTCAAAAGCACATGAGAAATCTCTCTCTTCCCCCGGTATTGCATTTAAATGAAGCGGGCCTTCTTGGACAAATCTGACATTCCTGACTTTCATTACTCAGAGGGTCGCAGTAAACCATGCAGCTTACACTAAAATGAAATACAGTATGTGCTCAAAAAAAAAAAATCTGCATAACAAACTTTTGGCTCCGGGGCAACAGCTGATATTTGCTTCAAATACATATTTTTGACCCGCCTCATCTGTCACTCACATGTTTGTTGACCCATGCACGGGGAAGCTTGGGAGGCGCCTGCCAAAGCGACTGTGACACACATGAGAATACAAGGGCGTGATGCTACAGCATGAAGTAATGATGCATACCAAATTGTCTTCACTGAGTGATGTGATTACAAAGAGGAGACACCGAGGACACAAAGCCTCAACTTTGTTTACGACAGAGTAGGGATGTTCCTGCTAATACTGAGTGTGTTGTTAAATGGAAATATTTTTCATTCCCGCAGATCTCATTCTTATCATCCACTATCTCTCAATCTGCTGGGAAGAACATCAACACAATCCTCCTCCCACCCCTCCTCCCTCCTCTTTGTGTTTTTTTTCACACCTGTTCCCCTCTCAAAGCTCCTCATTTCTTTTGCAGACTCTCTTTCCACCAAACAGCTCCATCCTCCCTCCTCCTCCTCCTCTCCCTCCCATCTCCTCTCCTCCTCTCCCAGTCACTGCTCTTCTCAAACTGAGGTGGGTCTTTTTAACACTCTCTCCCCGCGCCTCTCTCTTTTTACTCTTTACTTGTCAGGACGTTATGTTGTTAACAGTGCTGCGCGTTTGTGGGACCCTGCTGGCCTTCTCCAGCCTCTCTTGGACCGAGGCCGACTCAGATGAAGATGAAGGAGACCCCTCGGGGGATCATCAGTTCGGGCCCTGCGTTGCAACTTTGAGACCCGAGGAGCCTTGCAGATGGGGGCAGGATGACAGCACATGCCCGTATCTTTTCAGTCTGCCCCAGCTGACTCTCCACTTGCCAAAGCAGCTGAGGGAGCTCGAGAATATCGTGGAGGATCTGCAGAAGCTGAAGGACAATGTGGATCAACTCAGGAGGATGTGTGAAGATTGTAAAGTAAGCCAAACGGAGAGAGAGTGTGGGAGACAGAGAGAGAGAGACCTTGAGAAACCGAGTGAGGATGAGGGGATGAGAAATGTCAGTCAGGAGTGTGGGACAATCAGGGTTAAGGCAGAGAGACGACGGAGAGAGATGGTGACACTGACTCTGAAAAAAAAAAGTTTTGGAAGAGAAAGAGAGAAAGAAGTGGGATGCAGAAAGAGGGAGCGATAAAATAATGGTCATAAAAGATAATGAGGAAGAAGTGGCAGAAAAAGATGGAAAAACTCAGATGAGTGGGGCAAAAGAGAAGGACAAAGTGGGACAAGCAAAGGTGCCAATGACCAGTGAGAGGGAGAGAACGGGGGAAAACGTTTTTGACAAAAATAGAGGGACAGAGACAGATATTAGCAAAGAAAAAGATGGAAAGGGGGATTCAAAAGTGGACCAAGAGGGTTGGGAGAAAAGCAAAGACAGGAGGATAAGTATAGCAAAAAACAAGAAGGAAACAGAAGACGGGGACCATCACATGTGGCGGGACGAGACAGAGAAAACAGGCGAAAAGTTCCACACTGAAGAAGACAGGGGCAGTGATGGAATAAAGATGTCGGAGGAGCGCGATGAGCATACAAATAAGGAGCGAACGCAGCACGGGGAGGAGAGGAGAAAGGAAATGGAAAAGAGAATAAAAGTGGAGCGAGATAATGAGAAACCAAAACAGACCGAGAGCATCGGGCGTGCAGAGGAAGAAACTATAAAAGAGGGGGAGGAGGAGGAGGAGGAGGAGGAGGAGGACAGGGAAACGGTAACAGGGACCAAAAAAGAAGGAGAAAAAAAACCAGCTCAAAGTGAAGAGAGAGACGGTGATGGAGAATTAGCGTCGAGTGAGTCGACCGAGGGGACAGACTTTGTTTCCATCAGTCCGACCGACTCTATCATTAGTGTCGCTCCGGGGCAAGACGAGGCTATAACCATTATGTCATCTCTTCCACCCGCTCCTATGGCTAGCTCAATTCCACATCTGATCATGGACGTCGATCAAGGTGAGACAATATCTGCTGACCAGCTTCCAACCCAAAGCACAGGCGTTGGAGCAGGTGGTATTCCTGACTGGCAAAGCTCTGTTACAGAGGCAAGCACAAGCAGGCCAACAACAGCAGGTACAATAAACATGGTGGGTGGCCTTGGATACGAGGATTCGCAGACTAGCACCTGGTCGACCTCTGCAACCATCCCAAGGGCTGGATCAGGTGCCCCAGGTCAGGAAAGCTCCAGCACTAAGACTGTCGTTAAACCTTTACCAGGTCAAGCACCAAAACCTACAATTACACCTGAAGTAGAGCAAAAGTTTGAAAAACAGAAGAATGGTCAAAGACCCGATGAAGTTCGTTTGCCAGACGAGCCGACGAAATTGGATCAAAAGAGGCAGCCGAACTATCAAAAACCAACAACTCAGCAGAAATCTAAACATGGTAAAGATCCAAAACGGATCCAGACTAAAAAAACGGACCAAAAACATCCATCTGATATATTACCAACAGATAGAAATATACCGAAACAAGACCAAGAAAATACAACTTTTCAAAACTTCCCAAAGCCGAAATCTCACCATAAGTCCATGCCTCCCGTCAAGAGACCCACATCTAATCAAAGACCTCAAAGTGTAAATGTAACTGGTTCTCACAAAGACCCTGTCACTGGTGGACGTCCTCCCTATGTTGCTGTTCCCAAAACTCAAAACTCAAAACCTGACAAGAAACTGGTTCGTCCAATCCAGACTGACGAGTCTGACCAAAAACCTCACAAACAGAAAGAACGTGGAGAAAAAACAAAACCAGATCAAAAGTCAACATTAAACCAAGATTTCATTAATGAACCTGAAAGGAGTGAAACACCAAAACTAGATGAAAAAGCTTTAACAGAATCAATGGAGAGTTCTGTTGAAGATCCTTCGCTTGAGACTATCCAAGATAAATCAACTGGACAAACAGCCGATCAAGGCCAAATCAAACTCTCTGATCAGAAGTCCAAACCTGGCCCCAAAATTCCCAAAATAAACCAAAAGCCGAAACCCGCGACATCTAAACCGAACCAAAAACATCCAAAACTCGCAACAGGCCAAAAGAGTAAACCAAACGTGAAACCTAAACAGGATCAAACACAGAACCATCGAAGGCTTAAAACATCTCAGCCCGACCGAACGCCAGATCTGAACACCAAATCTGAAGAAGAATTCAAAGACACATCACTCTCAAAGCCTCCCCCGCAACACAGGACGCCGTCCAATCCTACATTCAAGGCGGGAGAAACACCCGTTAAAAGGCCAAAACCAACATTCCAACTAAAGCCAAGTCCAAAGACCAGAACCTCTTTAAACCCTCCTGCATCAGACGGCATTCAAAACTCTCAAACCAATGCGCCGCCTGCGTCAGATGGCATTAAAGAGATGATTGATTTGATTCGTTCCCCGGAGGACACCGATCTCAAACACAAGAAACAAGATGAAAACACGATGAAAGCTGCCGTCACTCCGCGTCCAAAGACCTCCAGCAGCCCGGCGACTGGACCTTTCCCTCAACTTCACACCCACTCCCAGGGATTCACAACGGCTCCAAGCAGCAGGATCCCGTCTGATCTGAGGCCACAAACAGCCAGTCTACCGCCATCCATCGCCATGACAACCGAGCCAAACAAAATCATGCGCGTGATCTTCCAAGGTGTTGTCCCCAGCACCGGTCCAGTATTCACACAGCCAAATCAAGCCAAATCAACACCAGGACCAACTCCAGATCCAGACAAAGTGGTAGTTCCAGTCCCTTCCGCCGTTGCCCAAACCACCTCCAGAACCTCTCCGGAGCCCAGATCAACAACAACCCCAGCTTCATCTGAGCTCCTCCACTCTGAGTCATCCACCCCCAGTGCACGGGAGCTGCGTGTGAAGATCAACCAGGTGGCTGCTTTCCTCAATAACAGCCTGAGCCCGAATAAAAGACCACCAGACAGGCGTCCAAAACAGATCCCAGAAGACAGAACTGACAGCAAACAGCCAACACTGACGGCATCTAAAGGCAAGATATAATGTTTCTCACACCATCACGCAGGGTTAATTAATGTTTTACTTTATACAGAAACATATACAAAAGAAGAAGGAACTCTGCAGGACTTGTTGTTGTAATAACAATCACGTATTCCAAATGTTTAAACTTGTCATTTAAAGAACAGTTTAACATTTACTGCACTGAGGTCAATTAAGTCTGACACAAGAAGGAGTCACCCTCCAGTGGCAGTTCTAGACCACTTTTACTGAAACTGGGTCCAGTTGTTTTGTCAGAGGGGAACATTAAACCCAGGTCAAAAATAGACAAAGACAATCGCTTCTATATATATATATATATATTATGCCAAATAATAGCGCACATCATTAAATAACACGACATAAAATACCATGATTTATGTTTGTTTCAGCAACAGAATTAAATACTAGATTGTGAGTCAAATACTGTGTATGTGTTAGGGATGGGAATTTACAGTAATCCCTGTACTCGATTACTCAAATTACCTAATGAACGAGTACTCGAGTACCCGCAGATTATTATTATTTTTTTTTTTAAACCGTAAACAAAAAAAGGGTCCGTCAGACACGGACCTCCCGGACCGGAATTGTAAACTTCATGCCTGTGAAATGACATAAACATCCAATATTTAAACATAAATATAAATAAATAACCAACAACAGGAAGCCATTTCAATTTCAACGACGTCGCTAACAACGACGTGTGCTAACAGGGCTAAGTACTTCCAGACATCACTTTTCTTGACTGACATGTTGCAGGTGTAGCAGACGGTTCTGTATTTGTTGTGCTTTTGCTTTCGGTGTAATAATATGTCCCTAGAGAGTTGCCGTAGCTGCCGTAAAACAGCTGTTTTTGCTGAAATCTGGCTCGGTGTGTACTAAAGCTGAAGCCGTGGCCGGAGAAGTCATACGTTTGTATCCGGTTAATTATTTCCCTACCTAGTATATTCAGTTAGGTGAAAACAAAAAGCTGGGTCACACATGTAACGCTGTGAGTTCAAGTTTTGTAGCCAAAAGCAGAGCTAGCACAGGTGAGCGAGTAACGAAATGTTACTCGAATAATGGGGTCAACGGCGAGTACTCGAGTACTCGTACCCATCCCTAGTATGTGTTATTAGGGGGGCCACAGGGGGGACCAAGCTCAGTTTTGGCCCCTGCCTAGAACCGCCCATGTCACCTTCACAACAACATTCATTTGAATTTACAACCAAACTTGTAAAACTTCAGCTTTTGTCTGTTGATGGGATTACATCACGATAATTAACCACAGAGAAAACGAACAGTTAGTACTCTAGTGTTTATAAATGCATTACTCATTAAGAAAGCATGAGCTTGGGCAATTTAGGCAAGAGGACCACACTGTAAACACATAAGATCATCCTTAAAAGAAAAATGTTAATACAACCGTGTGGTCTGAGAACATCTTTGTACAACACATCAGGGCTGGACGGGGATTTATAGACGTGTGCAGAAAGCATGTTGTTATTCAGGATAAAACCACAGCTATGTATTGTTGACAGCTTTTTAAAAAATCTTTCAGTGGAGAGTCACTGTAAGAGGAGCATTTGGCTTCATGCATTCCATTTTTAAAACAATAACAAGGAAACACAGGGGGAAAGAAACATAATTACTCTGTCGATCTATTCAGATTGAAATGTGCACTCTCAAATTAATTTTTTTTTCTATTTCACTCCGGAGGTCCACTTTTAAAGGCTGCTAAAACACTAAAGCTTTTATTGTGGAAAAGTAGTTAAGCACTGACCTGTTGAACTAGTGACCTCATTTCATGACTACGCACACAGCTGCAGGATTATCACTTCACCTGCAGGTTCAGCAAAGTCAGGACTGGAGCAAGTTTTGAGAATAAAGTGGAAATAATTTCGCTTTTTTTTTTTTTCCCTTCCGCAGTTACACTGATGAAGAGAGACTGCTCCGACCTCATGCTCAGAGGGAAGACCAAAAGTGGAGTGTACCTGGTGACCCCTGACCTCCGCAGCAGGAGCTTCTCGGTCTCCTGTGACATGGATCTGGAGGGAGGGGGGTGGACGATCCTGCAGCGCCGGAAGGATGGCAGCGTGAGCTTCAACCGGACGTGGGCGGAGTACCGGTCCGGCTTCGGGGATCTCAACGGAGAGTTCTGGCTGGGTAACAACATGATCCACCTGCTGACCCGGGACAGGGACATGGTGCTGCGGGTGGAGCTGGAGGACTTCAACGGCGTGATGGAGTTTGCAAGGTACGAGCACTTCCGGGTAGAAAGTGAGCGGATGCGGTACAGACTGTCGGTGGGCGGGTACTCCGGTACCGCAGGTGATGCGCTCAGCTTCAGCAAAACGTATGACCACAACAACAGGGCGTTCACCACCCCGGACAGGGATCACGACCGGTATCCATCCGGGAACTGCGGGGCCTACTACAGCTCCGGGTGGTGGTTCGATGCCTGCATGGCTGCAAACCTGAACGGGAGATACTATGTTGGGCGGTACAAAGGAGTCCGGGATGGGATCTTCTGGGGGACCTGGCACAACATATCTGCAGAGTATTACCCCACAAACGACAGACAGTCCTTTAAAGCTGTCCGGATGATGATCAGACCAAAGGGCTTTGCATCTTAAGCTCTGAACACTCTGAACAGGGAAAATAATCACAATAAAGGGTCTAATTTTAACCAACAAGCTGTTAAAAAGCTCCTTACTGTTTGTTAAAACTCAGTGTAGTCTACTATATCCACACATGTATTCATTTTTATCACAATACTGATGTCTCGCGATGTTTGCTTCTTCAATCCTGCTTTGTTTATGACAAGAACTGAAGATGTACATAGTTAAAAGGTTAATGTCATAAGTGCATAGTATATTTTCAGTTACATTTTTAATATTTATAATTCATAATACTTTCAGTGTTTGAGGGAAAAAATAAATTCCTCTTGTAAAAGTTTATTTTTTAAGACAATCTGAATCTAATATGTAGCAATGAAGACTGAGACTTTTTATTTCAGGACTGAAAATATGGAGCTAGTTCAGTTGACTGAAGCTGTTTGGGATGTTTACACTCATGATTGTTTCAAGATAAATAAAATAGGTGTTATGGATGAGAGGGTTGTGAAGTGGTCTCTTATTTTATATGCTATAGTGGAAATTATCTGCTCATAAAGTGACATCTCAGACCTTTTGTTTAAAACTGCCCGATCTTTTTTTTTTTTAAAAAGCACCTTTTGTAAACTTTATTTAAAGTGTAAAACTCAAATTCCCTACAGCCTCTATCGGAAAGGATGACGTCACATGCAACTTTCTTACGCACGCCTACCGATTGGTCAAAAGAGGTTTACACAACATTACATCCGGTTTGTCAAGCGACCAGGATTTAGACTGTGAGTGTGAGGCTCTGCCTCCAAAATAAAAGGAAATACGATAGAGTATGAAGAATCCAGTTTTGGAGAAGGAGGTATGCAAGCAAGAATGAACGATTTAATGAGTGAGTAAATAAGTCAACAAAAATAGATTTCTTTGTTTAATTGAAAATAAAAATGAATTGTTGTTTTTATATCATTGAAAAAACAAGACAGTGCTTCAATTAAAACATAACTTGACACAAAGGGAAAATAATGAAATTTTGGCTAATAAACAATGTAGACTATCTTATAATAGGCCTACATAAATATAATTTTAAAAAAATATTTTATTACAAATAAAATATTTATTTTTATTTATAAAATTTGTATATTTTATGCAAATATACATAAAAATAGGCCTGATGTTATAAAGAATGAAGAAAAGATTAAATGTGAAAATGAATTCAAGAGATAAAATAGTGAAAATTGAATTGTAAGTTAATAAATAGATAGGGGTAAATACTTTATTATGATTTAAATATTAACATCAATTTATATCAAATGTAATTAAATAAAAAATAAGAGTCTTATAGCCTCAATTTTGTCTGAAATTGTTTATTTGAAGTCACATTTCTTTTTAAATTTCAACTTAATATAGGCTACAACATTTAAAATAATGACTTAAATTGAATTGTGATTTATTTCAAATAAAGAGCAATGTTTTACAAAAGCTTCAAGTTACAGGTTACGCTTTTATTCTGAAAACTCGTACCGGAACAAGTAGTATTTTGACAGCCTTGTGACAGTCCATGTTGTCTGAATGAAAGATTGTGTTGCTCAGCTGTATGTGTTGTTAGATTCGGCTTCTTGTTAAAGTCTCAGTGTGTTGATGAGTTCAGCTGATAAAAGATGTTTTGGGTTTCGGAAATCCAGCGAGGAAGTGTCGGGCTTCTCCGCTGCTTGTCCGCTGTGACAGTCAGCCACATGACTCCCATAACACGCCGCTGCCCTCTGTACACTTCAAGGTGTTTCTCCATCTCTAGCCCTTCAAAGTGTCCGACACATGAAGAGTTGACCCCGCCCCCTCTGAAGCAGTGGGCTCTACATGTGAGCCCCTTCTGCTCGATACGGGCCCGGCTCGGCTGCGGCATCTCAGTCCGCCCGCTGGACCCGCACAGCTTCCCCGAGGCTGACCGAGTCTTCATCACTGTTCACGGGACAGTCACCCAGGAGGAGACGGTCGGTCTGGATCACCTGCACGTCCGCTATGATGAGCAGAGCCAAGAGCTGCTCATATCAGCAGAGAAGGTTCACAGCGGGGTGTCCATTGAAGTGGCTGCACCTATCAAAAGCAGTGAGTGTCCGTTTTTATTTTAATGAAGCCTACTGTCTTATCCTTTGTTGCCACTCTAACATGTGTTGTTGTTGTTGTTGTTGTCAGATGTTTTGATCACTGCTCAAGGACAAGGCAACGTGCAAGTGAGGAAAATGGAGTGTGATGTATGCAAGGTTCACACAGAGAAGGGCAACTGTTTGCTGCACTCAATCCGGGTGAGTGCTGACCTCACAACACAACTTACAAAAAGTTATATTAGAAATACACAAGAACATGCATTGGTATGTTTGCGTATCCTTGTAGGTTTTTTTTTTTTTTTAGCAATACTGCACGAGAAGGAGTGTTGTTATGCTGAATATTGATGGCTGTGCGGTCTCTTAGCAACAAGTGTTTGTTGACAGTTATAACCTGAGGGATTGTGATGTGTAAAAGTCCCAGTAGTGAAATCTGTATCAGCACTCGTTGATTGCCTCTTGTACAGTCTGATTATTTGGTCAGAGCAAAGTTCTGTATGATGGCCATTTCCACCTTTAAAAAATAGAGAAACTAGAACAGTTTGGCACCTTCATGTAACTCTCAAAGTTTCCACAAATCTGAAAACTGTAACCTTCTTGTGTCAGTAAAGGCTTATATACACAGTGGAAACATCTCCCTGTTTTCTTTAACATTAAAGGGATACTTCACCCATCTGCATTAATCTTTGTATCATTAGAAACCTGGTAGTATTTCTGAATGCTCGTGCATCCCACCCTCATTTTCCCCTGAGATGTGAAATCTTTGTATTTCTGAGTCTGAAAAGGAGCTTCCAGTGACGCAAAATGACGATTTTTGTGTCACTGGAAGCTGTTGCAGTTAGCGGGGTGAAACTACAACGCTAGTTCCTCATATTTTCGACCACTGAAGCTACAGACCAATCACAGATCAGTGGGTGGGAACTCACTCCCAGAATTGAAACTTAACGTCCGCAATATTGCTTGGAAGCTAAGCTAACAGGCTCTATGGAGAAAGATGATAATGGAGAACAAATTTAAATAAAGCGGCGAGACGGCCGCTGCCGACAGGCCGGTCTTGTGTCTTGGCTGCTTCCGCTCGAGCTGGGGTGGACTGGTAGAGTCGGTGCTCTCACTGTTTGTCTATGGACACAGATATAGAGTCTGTTTTCTGAAAATTTCTAAGATCAATTCTGGAAGAAATCTCTGAATGAGTTGAGGAAACGGCCTTATGTGTTGAAGTAAATATGTCTGTAAATAGAGGACCTTAGTGGGAGTGGCCTGCGGTGCTGTGCATTCTGGGATTTGGTGTCTTTCATCCACATGAGCCAAAAAGACACTTTCTGTCTTTTCTCAGTCAAAAAGGCACCAACTTCAAAATGTATTTCACATTTCTACATATATGACCCAATGTCAGTACAGATTCATGTTTCAACGGGTGAAGTATCCCTTTAACTTGCAGCTTTACTTGCAGCATACGTAAATAAAAAAGCCACCAACAGTCTTAAACACTAAGTCCTCAGTCTGATCTGGAGGGAATCAGCGAGAACAAGCCAAAAGACTGTTGTTTTGAAAATGTGTTCTTGAAAGCATCCATGACATTTGAATGATCTTGTTTCACGTTTGGTTGTTTGTTGTGTCACAGGGTCACCGTGTTGAGGTCAGGTCTCAGGGAGGACACGTTACAGGCGCAGGCACCATCCATGGGAATGTGGACATCAGCACATGTGGAGACGGTGTAAGCACAAACAGTGTTTCACTTACACTGAGCAGCCACTAGAGGGCAGCAGAAGCCTGAGTAAAAACTGGATCTATACATGTTTACAGTTCTTTTCATTAGGAGACAAGACTTAAAAAAAAGGGTAAATATAACTACCGGTCAGTAAAAAGTCCACAATACATACTGATGTCTACAACAAGCTTTAATCTTTACATCATGGAGACACCGGAAAACTAGAACAGATAAGAATAATCATTTCATGTTCATATGTCAACAAACATATTTCATGACTCATATTTATTTCCAAAAGTCAATTAAACGTTGTTACAATGTAAAACAATATTTACCGTGTTCGTCTCATAGACTGTAAAAATAATGGACAAGACAAGCTCCCCGGTAGAGTGAAGCTTTTATTTTTAGAGCTCCCCCTGCTGACTGGCTGCAGTATAGGTCATAAACCCCGCCTCCTCAATGATAACAGATGGGATGAGGGTCAAACTGTAAAGCTAAAATACTCTTTTTTTCTTTTTTTTAAATTTCCAAACCTAAACTCTGCTGTGATCATGAGTTATTATCACCCTGCATTGTGTTCAAATGCTCATTTTTCTGTGAAGTTTGTTTTAAATAAGTTATTTGAGGTTGAAAAACTGGATTTTACGTCATATTTGATGATGATTGACAGCCGCCGATCTTGCGTACCTCTCTTTGTGAATAACAAAAGTTACGTAGCGAAGGAAAGCCGAGACGCCGTTGAACATTTCCACTCCGTGTTTGTCTCTCTGACAGAATGAGTTGTTCTGCTGTAGTTCGCCTGCTGACCAACGGCGTAGCCTAACTTCCCAGTCAATAACGTCATGTGACATTTAAATTAACTTTATCGACAGGACGAACATAACAAACAAAATAACAACATCTTGACTAATAAATGACTGAATTAACAGTAAAACCTACTTGTTTTAAGATTGAACGTAAAGGAAAACTAAATAAGCAATAATATTAAATAAAAGTCAAGCTTTTTTAACTTCATGTGTTGCTATGGCAACCTATTTAACTCAAGCAGCGCCAGCTACAGTAAATAATGATGTTAATGATCACCTGGTGACTGTTTTGTGAAGTTTTGATTAAGTGTGTGTGTTTGCAGGCAGTGGATGTTAAGAAGCTCCAGGGCACCACAATGAAAGTTTCAACAGAGAGCGGCTCTTTGAAGGTCAAAGCCATCTACGCTGAGTCCAGCTGTGTGTCGTCGAGCTCTGGGAGAGTAGAACTGGGACACGTACACGGTGAGCAGTTTGCACCTGCTATTCTTCAAGTATCAGCATTTAACTGCCTTAAGTTGAACTTTTTGTTGGGTTATTATCGCCACAACTCAATGCATCGAGAAAAGTTGGCTTTTTTCTAATAGAGATTTTTTTTTTATTATTTTGGGTTTAATGTCATGTTCAAGACCACTTTTCAGAGTCGGTATTAAACCAATAAACCTACAATTAATAAGTGACCTACTTTAAATCTGAGTTAAAAAAAGAATTTGAACTTTTTATTCATTGGGAACATGCAGCTTTAAAGGCTTTATGTGTGATTTTTCACACTTAAATATAATATAAATGAAGTATCTCCTCTGAAAATAACTCTGTGAGTCATGACTGTCTACAATGGGTGTAACACCCGAGTCCCACTGTCTGTGATGTTTTCAGAGTTTTCAGAGTCCTATCTTCACTTTGTTTACATCGCCAGGACGGCCGGCTGACTCCTCCCCTCGTGTATAAAAGTTGTTTAATTGAAGGACTAGAGAAAAGAAGAATAACATACTGTACTCACTGCTTAACTGTGTTTCTAGATCACGCTCATTTCAGGTAAATTTACATGCAGTGTGAAGATACCAGCATAATAAAGATCGCTAGCATTAGCATGCTAACACAACAATGCAGCGCAAGTTGTTTTGGTTTCATGCTGGTGCTCAAGGGCGACATCTGCTGGATCAAAAAAATCACATCTAAAGCCTTTAAAGTCACAACAACAGAACTCAACTTACAACTTTAACCTAAGCAACGTTTCTAGAGTAGACAAAGCGTTTTTCTAGTATGTGAGGAATCCTGTGCTCTGAGCCTAAATAGTCTATTAAACTGAAATGTGGCTGTGGTCACTACACAGTCTGTTCTTGTTGTGTTATTTTTTGGTTGCTATAAAATGTGGTAATTGTAAAAAGTCTAATTGTTGGAAAAGAGAGTAGGTCATAAAAACAACCAGAACTGTGATGTAAAGTGCAGAAGGTGTGTCATCCACATTTTAATTAAATGTGGAACCAGCGTAGTCTTTTAGCACAGATACATGGAAACAATTATCTTGTTGACTACAGCGGTGCAGGTAAACGATCAACAGTGTGTGATAGAGACTTTTCTTCAGCCCAGTTTCTACATTTTTGTTGCCTGATAAAAGTTGTGTTTATCTACTGGTGAGGAAAATAATAAGATCGCTAGTTTATACAAAGCTTAAACTGACCTTGTGCTTTTCTATCAACAAGGTTATGCCACTGTGAAGAATGAGTCTGGAGATACAGTGATTGGTAAGCGTGCTGATCTTAACAGTGATCTGCAGTACATATGGTTTCTATCCAGTTTCAGTATCTGGTCAAAGCAAAAACACCTGAGGCCTGCTTTCCTCTTGCAGATGGTTCAAATTCTTCCCTGAAGGTTTCCTCACACAGCGGAGGAATTGATGTCTATGTGGGAGACGGTGGCAGTGCTGAACTCCACAGTCAGGAAGGTAAATGCACTGTATATGAAACAAAGCCCCCTTATGGACCACAGTTCTTCTTCCCTTTCACTTGCATTGTAAGCACGCGGTTGACCTTTTTTTCCGACACCATATTGCTGTATTTAAAACTCTGAAAACCTATCTTTGGCTGTTTATCCTCATTCACCTCATTGACTAGTGTATGTAACCCTGTTTATGTCCAATGGGTGGCGCTGCTGTAAATAATTATCATTGTCTTAAAACTGTGGAAAATACCAGGAGTGACTCTGCACAGCTTCTCAGAAATCTCACAGAACAAGAGCAAACGTCCGGGTCACATATCATTTATAAACGCTCTAACAATCATATTTTAGTTGAAGGAAATACATTTAATAATAAAATATATATCTATGATTCCTCACAAAACATGGTTAACCGCTCGGTTGAGTTGCCAGTCCACGCACACGGCCTGACTCAAGTCACTCATTTCTTATTTTGTTCACCTTTTCTAACCATTTCTACTCATTCAATTTGTTAAATAAATTATAAGCTATTTTAACAAGTTCTACTCTCTGTGATGTTTATATATGAAAAAACTCAACATTTTGTTGTAGAAATGAAAGAAATCCATTCATGCCCAAAGTAACCCTAAACAGGCAACCAGCTGGTTGACCTGCATATCTGCTTCCTGATTGGTTAATCTGAAAACTATAACCTGAAGTGTTGCTTAATGAAGAGGCAGGAACACAACTTTACCAACAAATAATTTTTTGCAAATGGATTTCTTAGTGTGGAAGTCAAAGGGTTAAAGCTCTGATCTCTCTGTTGGTTCACATATTTTCTTGTCTTTCCTTTTTTTAATTCAAACATATTTAGGCGCTGTGTGTGTTCGCGTCCCCTCCTCCCTGAAAGCAGGGGTGGAGCTCTGCGGGGCGTCGGTGGCCATCGGCCCAGAAGTTGTTCTGCACGGAGTACAAAACAACACGACTGACGACCAAACCATAGTCACGGGTGAGCCCATTGCATCACACTCATGGGCACAGTTAATCAAGCGAACTCACAAATAAGAGAATAAGCCAAGAACGTTCATTTTCCCAACAACGGTTTCCTGTGTGTGTTTGTCTCATTATGCCCTGCTCTGTGTCTCTCAGGCTACATAAACACAGAGTCTCCAGTGCAGCAGTGGGTTAAAGCGCAGGCAGACAAAGGCTCCATCACGCTGAAGACACAGAGCTGGTTTGAGTCCCTGAAGCTCAGGAGCTGAAAAACATCACTTTGTAATGCTCATAAGAAGTGGATGAACTTTAACCTCACCGCAGTATGTTAAACTCAATGATCAGAGTACTTCTACTACTTCTACTACACTGTGGGGAAATTGTCTCACACTATTTGACACATTTTATTTATGTGTTAAAACCCCTTTACACCCTCTGAGTCTGGAAAGTGTTGAACTGCAGTGTGTCATTGCAGACCGTTGAGCTTGCACTAAACTGTCAGTGGTTTTTGAATGGTAATTATAAACTCTTTTTTTTTGTGTTATTGTGAGATGAGATATTGCCAGAGACTGTTTGACTTTGTGTAAATATTATAAACACGTGTTGAAAGTCTCTTTTCTAGAAGCTACCTCAACCTCTGTGTGCTGTCTGATTCAGATGCAGGTCACATTTAAAACACCTGATGACAACACAACAACATGTCCCTCTTTGAATATTTCAAAACAAGCTTTTTTATCATCAAACTGAACAGATATGAACTTTTCTCCACTTAGAAGCTTCTCTTGATCATGAGGTAAACTGTCTCACTTATGTGCTTCGCATACCGATGTAGGTACAACGAACATAATGCAGATCTACACATGATAAACACTTACAAACTCTGCTTTTACCAAAAAATGGGTGGTTGATTTTACTTAAAAGAAATGCGGCCTTTAAGTACAAAGAATGGATAGAGAAAGATAGATTTAAAGGAGGAAAAAAAATGTACACATGCACTCCATAGACAGACTGTTATTTGTAAAAATATAAATCAGGCCGTTGGAATGATGTGTGACACCAGACAGTTAAAATTAAGGATGCACCAGCATGAAACCAAAACAACTCACGCTGCATTGTTGTGTTAGCATGCTAATGCTAGTGATCTTTATTATGCTGGTATCTTCACACTGCATGTAAATTGACCTGAAATGAGCGTGATCTAGAAACACAGTTAAGCAGTGAGTACAGTATGTTATTCTTCTTTTCTCTAGTCCCTCAATTAAACAACTTTTATACACGAGGGGAGGAGTCAGCCGGCCGTCCTGGCGATGTAAACAAACTGAAGATAGGACTCTGAAAACTCTGAAAACATCACAGACAGTGGGACTCGGGTGTTACACCCATTGTAGACAGTCATGACTCACAGAGTTATTTTCAGAGGATATTCTTGATTTATATTATATTTAAGTGGGAAAAATCACAAAGTCTTTAATAGTACACACATTCGCTGGTTTTGTCAGTAATTGGTTGAACAGCTGAGAAACAGATTGTGTATCTGTTTTTCAAAAATATGTTTAAATTTGTTACAAACTGGATGTGGAGAATGAGGCAACCATCTTAGGAATGAATCCCAAGCTCACGACTCAAACATTAGCTCTTGTTTAAAAAGCTTTACTTTACTACTGACTGTATGAAGTATCATCAGCAAAACAGAACATGTTTACAAGCAATAAAAAAAAAAGTCCCTATGACAGTGTGCTATCTCTTTATATTCCTCATTGGGAACTTTTTTTATCTCTGTATTTGCTTCTCTTATCACTTAGTACGCTCTAACTGTCCCCAGATATCTTGATGTTTTTTTGAGATGGGGGTGCACCATTTTGGCCCATGTGGTTCTAAAATCAATACGTAGAGTCATCACTGCTGTGCTTCCAGTACGCCACACGAGGCTGAAGCTTCAAGGCAGCTGCCCTGAGGGACACAAACACACTCTGGTTATTACAGAGTAGAGTGTAGAACTCTTTTTGCTTGCAGCGTTTCACTAAAGTTTGCTTCCTTACTTGGAGATGCTGCTGCAGGAGACCATGGTGATGGAGCGGAGTGGAGGACAGATCCTCTCTAAGTGTCGGAGGGAGCGGTCTGTGAGAAGAACACAGCCGCTCACATCGAGGTCTTGAAGGTACTGAGATCCACTCGTCAGATACTGAACCGCCATGTCTGTCATCTGGAGCAGAGCAAACTAGGATATTATGGACCAGGGAGCATTTCAATGCTTTGTGTGTGTGTGTGTGTGTGTGTGTGTGTGTGTGTGTTTACCTTTGGACAGCCTGACATCCTCAGTGTAATGAGACCTCTGCAGTAAAATGAAATGGCTCTGATGGCCGAGTCTGACAGAGCTACACAGCGAGACACATTGACCTGCTCCAGATCTCTCGCGTTCTTACACACCTTCTAAACTCGTAAGAAACAAAATTGGGAAAAGAGAACATGAAGGAAACTGCAAACGTAAAATTTGTTTAGTTTTTTTTTTTTTTTAGAAAACAGTTTGTGCCAAAAGTTTGTTTACTGAAAGCTGCTGAGTAGCAACCCCAGGAAAAAGAAGTAAACATGAAAGCCACCAACAAGTGTAAACTTCCCTATAAAAATGCCACATCTGTTCCAAGAGTTGAAATCCTGTCTTGGTTTGTACCTCTATGCCGTTGTCTGTGATGCATACACACTCAGCAAGATCTAACTTCTTCAAGTGGATTTCTTGGAGAGCTGCGAGCCCCTAAAAACACAAACACTAGGTTAAAGAGCTCCAAAGGGGGGGCCGCTTATCTTCTTTTCATGAATGTGTGTGAGGATAAAAAACAAACATCTGAACAGTACCTGATCCTGGATGTTGCAACCACTGATGTCAAGAGAGCAGATAGAGCTGCCACTCAACCACTCCAGACTCCTGTCAGTCAGTCTCTCACAATAACTCAGGTTAAGAGCGTACAGCTTACACAACCTGATTAATAGTATACACACACACACACACACACACACACACACACACACACACACACACACACACACACACACACACACACACACACACATACAACAACAAAAAAATAGTTGCTCATGACACTTTTTAAAAGACCATCAACCTCAAATATCAGGGAGGACTCTTGAACATAAAGGGACTTGCAACTTCCCTGCACTCAGAAATATTTATTTTTTTAACAATAATCACATTTAAAGGCTTTATATGTGATTTTTTTGATCCAGCAGATGTCGCCCTTGAGCACCAGCATGAAACCAAAACAACTCGTGCTGCATTGTTGTGTTAGCATGCTAATGCTAGCGATCTTTATTATGCTGGTATCTTCACACTGCATGTAAATTTACCTGAAATGAGCGTGATCTAGAAACACAGTTAAGCAGTGAGTACAGTATGTTATTCTTCTTTTCTCTAGTCCCTCAATTAAACAACTTTTATACACGAGGGGAGGAGTCAGCCGGCCGTCCTGGCGATTTAAACAAAGTGAAGATAGGACTCTGAAAACTCTGAAAACATCACAGACAGTGGGACTCGGGTGTTACACCCATTGTAGACAGTCATGACTCACAGAGTTATTTTCAGAGGATAAACTTGATTTCTACATTTAAGTGTGAAAAGTCACATTTAAAGCCCTTAAAGAAAATGCTGATCATCACATTGGTACAAAAAATACTTATAAAGATTTATTTTGGGGAATTCTGTGCCTTTATTGGAAAGATAGGACAGTGGATAGAGTCGGAAATCAGGGAGAGAGAGAGTTGGAATGCGGGAAAGGAGCCCACAGGTCGGATTCGAACCTGATCCGCCCACTTGGAGGACTACAGCCTCCATACATGGGGCGCACGCTCTAACCACTACACCACCAGCGCCCATCTTTTCTGTCTTTTAAACAAAATTCTGCATTTGATTTATATTTGAGTTGTTGTTTCTTTTAATTGTTGGATATCAATGATTTTTTTTTTTTTTAGATGATTTTATATATTTCTCGTGTTTTGTATTTTATGTAAATCAAGTTAAGAATCCACATTCTATTCTTTAAATTACAGTCAAACCAGACGGGGTCATTTTGACCCCAGAGGACAGCTGGTGTATAGCAATCGGGAGGACATTACGAGGGTTAATAAAACTATACTCAGCAAGGTGAAGTCATGTTTAGTGCTCGTATAAACCTCTGTCCAATCCTCCTGACAGATACATCAGTGATGCTGCTGCAGTGACTGACGTTCAGCTCTCTCAGGTGGTTGGATGACGAGCCTTCAGTCAAGCACATGATTCCATAATCACTCACCCTGAAAACACCAAACAGTGAACTCATGATGTCTTTAAAAAAAAAAAAAGCAGGTTATTATTATAAAATGTAAAAACACAGAAGTCACACTTGTAACAAACTGATATGTCCAGGTGCTGCAGATTCTTCAGGGTGGCCGCGGATGTGAGGCTGGCATCTGTCAATCTGGGACAGTCTGCAGCGTGGAGTCTGCAGAGGCCCGGCGAGCTGCTGCACACGGCCTCCAGGCTGACGTCTGTCATCTGGTTGTTACCTGAAAGTGCACAAAACTTGACTTTAATCACTTCTCTTTATTTTGTATGCTGCATGTAGAAATGTACTCTGCAGAAAAGTTAAACGATCTCACCCTCTGTGCTAAAAGTTTTCAGTTTGGCCACCTCAGCGATGGCTTTGAAGGCGATGTCGGAAAGATGAGGAGCATCCAGCAGAGAAATGGCAGACAGACAGCGACATCTGGCAATCAAGGCCTGTGGGAGAAGAATCAGGCCGAAAAGGTTGTACAGTATATGTTGCAAGGGAAATAGAATGTTTTGACCAAAAAATGAGGCGTAAAGTGACAAATTATTTTCTCATTAATCTCAGATTTTCTACTTTTGTTGTTTAACATTCCAGAGCTGGGGATGTTGATCCAGATGTTTTTAAAAAAGACTTACCAAAACACAGCTATCCGACAGTGTGATCATGTCATTGATCACTAGCTCTCTGAGCAAAGGACATCCGGCTGAGATGTAACGGAACCCATTTACCGTCATCTAGGAAGAGGGACAGAGGAAAACATGTGTGTTCTCTGGAATCTGAATCATTTTTCCAGCATGCAGCTCTCTCCTTGGCCGCCTCATGTTTTCAGGGCCCCCGTTATGTGAAACCACACATCTGGAACCAACCTCGAGCAACATTCCCTGAGGATAAAGCGTTTTAATGCCGGGGTGCGTGTGTGTCATGTTATAGAGAGTGTGCACATGGTGAGTGGGAGGGAGTTAGCTGTTTGTATAAACCCAACCCTCCTTATGGACAAGGCTGCATGTTACTCCTCCTCTCTTTCAGATCGATGTTCTTTTCGCTCTGGGCAAACGGATGCAAGACGAAGAAGAGACACGTGTGAGCAGAGAGGGGTGACTGGATCTATCCAAGGCACACTTCATTTTTAAAAAAGCCAATAAAGTTTGATTTGAGCCTGAGAATTGACTTCAAAAGAAAACTGAGAGGAGCGTATCAACTGACCTGAGTGCAGCCGGAGAGGTCAAGGTGGATGAGATTGCGACAGCCCTTCCCTGTTCTCAGGTACGTAAAACCATTATCTGTGAATCTGTAGCAGTAGGCCAGACTCAGGTATTGAAGGTTGACACAGTTCCTGTTTGAAAAACCGATAAGATTTCTTTGTGTGGTTAAGTGCTGGTGATAATAGTTTGTTGTTTTGTTGTTATTGTAAGAATAAAAAAGTGTACTTTTGAGTTCTTACTTCATAAGAACAGATTTGAATTTAAAATAAATGAAATGTAGAGATCCTTAGATACTGTTATAGTTGAAAATGTGACATTTCAAATGTACTTTGCATACTGCTACTACCCCAAAATAGAGATTTAAAGAGGCTTAAACCATAAGCCTGCAAATCTGTCATCAATGCAATCAATCGTTCAAGATGTTTTAGTTATGAACGCCCACATCTGTTGCTTTTAAATCTTTAAGTTGGCACAGATCATGTTGCTTTAAGATATTACATAAAAGTCTGCAGCGGGGCTGTTCATCATCAAATAGGCAGGAAAACATCTGCATCAATACAGGAATGTCTTTGATGTGTGAGTGAGCTGGACCATACAGAAGTGTAATCAGATAACATGGGGGGGGGGGGGGGGGGGTTACCTGGACAGTTCTCTCAGAGATTTGTTGGTGATATGTGTGCAGGAAAGGTTCAAGTAGAGCAGGCAGGGACAGGTCTCGACGATTCTCTGAACAATCTTATCCTGGTGAAGAGCAGAGATGTTTGTTTGTTTAGTTCTCTCAGCAACACATCCACTGCCAAAGGTCTGTATCCACATATATACGTATAGAGATAAAGAAAAAGAAATAGGATTAGGGTTTTGATGAAGACTTTACAACTGATGTTTTTTTGATGTATCACATGTTAAGGTAAAGATATGTTGCATCACAGCAATAATAAAAAAATAATGTTTGTTTTAATTTGAGGTTTGTTGTGGAAAAAAAAAAAGGTCATGTTTTGATTAAGTCCCTGATCACAATGATTGGGTAACCAGTAGAAAATGTGTGCGTATTAGATGATGAATCATCCACACATTGCATTATTCTTTTTTTTTTTTTTTTTAAGATTTATTTTGGGCATTTTGTGCCTTTTAATGTAGAGATAGGACAGTGGATCGAGTCAGAAATCAGGGAGAAAGAGAGTAGGGAATGACATGCGGGAAAGGAGCCACAGGTCGGATTTGAACCCGGGCCGCCTGCTTGGAGGACCACAGCCTCTATACATTGCATTATTCTTGTAAAAAAATGACTCACTGTGACGTTGACACACTCTGACATATTGAGCTCCTGGAGGTTTCTGCATGCACCTTAAATAAACAACAACAATTAAGAGTAAAAAAAAGGGAAGGCAGTCTAAAACAATGTAGTAAATCTTCTACAGTCTTTATATGTGATTAATGATTCATAAAGATATATTTAGGATTATGTAAGGACCAGCATGAAGAGTGATGGTTTTCTGCTTTCTGTCAAAGCTGGATATACATTCCCAGACGGCTCCTTTGCTCTTACATAATCTTCTTCCTCTCACTTTTCTCCGCAGGCTGAGCAGCAGCAGCTGTGTTCCATCAACAATAGCACTGTTGACCTTTGACCCAGTGCTGCCATTTTTGTAAGACCCTTGTCACACACCGCTGCTTTGACTCCAGCCCTTCTCACTAAAAATAGAGAATCCCCACAGGGCTCAGGATGCGTTTGACCTCCTCTCTCCTCGTGGCCTCCCTGCTCCTCCTGCTCCTCCCGTTCAGCGACGCAAAGAAACCTGGAAAGGGACGAGGTCTCCGAGGTGCCAGACACAAACTCACACGTGATAGGTATGCTTTTTTCTCTTGGGTCTGATTTGTTTAAACCAGCTTTCCCCTCTCTTACAGACATAAATTAATTTCTGCATCTTTTCAAACAGGGTAAGGGGTGTCGGGTCTCACAGCAGATCCCGCTCCTCCAGACTGGCGACACCTGATTGCTCTGAGCTCACAGAGTCCGGAGAAGTCTTCGTCGACTGCCAAAGCCGACGCCTTAACTCCATCCCCCCCTCACAGACCTGGTCTCAACAACCGAAACACCTGCTTTTAGCTCACAACCGGATCAAAGTCCTCCACGATGGAGCCTTCACCGGATACGAGGGTCTAACAAGTCTGGACCTGCAGCAGAACCACATCACTTTAGTGGAGGAGGGAGCCTTCCAGGGCCTGACGCAACTTACAACCCTGCTGCTGCAAAACAATCGTCTGGGAACACTCAGCGAAGAGGTCCTCATCCCCATGCCCAACCTGGGCTATCTACGTCTCCATGGTAACCCTTGGAGCTGCCTCTGCCCGATGGACAGCCTCATCCGCACCCTGCAGGTCCCGAGCAACCGATATCTAGGAACACATGCCAGGTGAGTCTATAAACAAGTTTCTGCAATCTAATGCTCTGAAATCACAGGAGTATAAATAATAACTCAATCTAATAACACCATTATTTATCTATTTCCACCTCTAGGTGTGCAGAGCCCCTCAGGCTAAAAGGCCTAAAGTTGAAGCAGGTTGACCCTGAGATGCTCTGTAAGGAGATGGACCCAGCCGGGCACCCGCAAGGGGACGAGACAGAACCCTTATTTCACATCGAGCCCAGTCATATTCGCACCAAACCGGACGCCACCACGTCTTGCAACACCTACCTTTTTCCCCAAGTACGGATGGACTGCAGTCACCGAGGCAAGTTCACTGTCAGCTTTTTCATCTCTGAATCATAACTCTGAACCTTGCTGTTTAAAAAATCCCCTCAACATGTTTCTTATGCAACAAAGTGGTGAAGAGAAAATACCTTAAAGCACACGTCAGAGAGCTCATATGTTCATGATTACAGTGCTGTTAAATGACTAGAATGACTGAACTTCCTTTTCCACACAAAAGGGATTAGCAGGGCTTGACGTGGAACTGGCAGAGTCACATGTCTGGCTTGGCAGGTGTTTTGATTAAAATGTGATGTTGCTGCTACCTTCACCTCTGACTGAAGTCATTTGTTATCTCATGAACAACTCAGGAAGAGCGAGCCAATCAAAGTTAGGTCAACATATCAGAAGTAGACTCCTGGGTGTTTGCCTAAGAATAGACAGGGCTAAAAAAAAATGCCTGCCTGTGTTCTGCATCTACTGAACGGAGGCCTGGATTTATTAATTTAAAAAAAAATACTGAACATGTTTTTTGGTCATTAATCAAATTATGAAATTGATTTGAGTTAACCTTTTCTTCTTTTATGTTTTTAAGGTCTAACAGAGGTGCCGACAGGTATTCCAGACGATGTTGTTCACATCGATCTCTCCCACAATTCCATCAGTCAGCTCAGAGCCAAAGATTTCCATGCAGCGAGGAGCCTCAGAACACTAAACATCAGCCATAACAACATGGAGAACATTGAAAAAGGTAATTGTGCATTTAATGCCGTATGCCTATTTTATCATAAGCATTGAATTTCACAGTATGTTCTTTGTGATTCCTGTAATTTCCAAACAGAAAGCCAACAAAAACATTGTTTTCTCTTTGGCTGATCTTGAATTATCAGAAGCCAAGAGGTTGAGAACATCTTGCAAAACTTGTGCTGGCCTTTGTTTCCCATTTTCCCTGTTTTAATGATGTTAGGAATTCTGCCAACTTTGCGTTTACATTATTGGATTTATTTATGGTGAGGAACAGCCAAGAGGGTTACACTGTACTCGTGTGATTCAGACACTTTTGTAGCCCACACATTCCAATGAGGGTTTGTTTGCACCACAGGCTCTTTTTATAAATATTCTGAGAGAATAACCTTTTTTTTTCATCTCGTAGCATCCCTGTCTGGACTCCTTCACCTCCGAGAGCTGGACCTGTCCTACAACAGTGTGCACTTCATCCAGTACGGGGTTCTTGAGGACCTTTACTTCTTGTCACAGCTGAAACTTGGAGGGAACCCCTGGGTGTGTGACTACAGGTGGGTTTCTCTTCCTCAAATACTGTATTTACAATCATTTTCTTGAAAGTCTTTATATGTAATGTTTCACACTTAAATATAATAGAAATCAAGTTTATCCTCTGAAAATAACTCTGTGAGTCATGACTGTCTACAATGGGTGTAACACCCGAGTCCCACTGTCTGTGATGTTTTCAGAGTTTTCAGAGTCCTATCTTCACTTTGTTTACATCGCCCGGACGGCCGGCTGACTCCTCCCCTCGTGTATAAAAGTTGTTTAATTGAGGGACTAGAGAAAAGAAGAATAACATACTGTACTCACTGCTTAACTGTGTTTCTAGATCACGCTCATTTCAGGTAAATTTACATGCAGTGTGAAGATACCAGCATAATAAAGATCGCTAGCATTAGCATGCTAACACAACAATGCAGCGCGAGTTGTTTTGGTTTCATGCTGGTGCTCAAGGGCGACATCTGCTGGATCAAAAAATCGCATATAAAGCCTTTAACAGCTGCTAACCATTAATAAAAACCCAAACCTTTTTTTTCCAGCATCCATTACATGGTCTACTGGCTGCGTCTGCATCCGGGGGTGCGGCACTCTGGCTTGCTCTGTCGCTCCCCTCTGGAGCACAACGGGGAGCCTGTGCAGGAATATGTGAACTCCTACAACAGAGGCTGTCCAAAGGAGAGGCAGCAGAGCAGAGCAGATCCAGATGAAACAGACCCCAAGCTGTGGAACACACCGATGGAGGTGCAGGGAGAGCTGGAAGAAGAGCTGGAGCCGAGCCACCTTAGAGTGCCACAGAAATACCAGATCTACAGGCTGTCCTGAGTCCAGTGAACATTTGAGCCTAAAGTTTGACTTTATTTCCCCGTCTTTATTTCTTTCAATCTCATTAAACAGTCTGTATCAGACTGAGTAACTATGCTTTGTCTGTGTTGTCTTTTTTAATAAGATAGAAATATTAATACTAGTAGTCTTCAACCTTCCTAAAAGAGCACATGTCACTCCGCTGTTCATCTCCTTACACTGGCTCCCAGTTACTGCTCGCATCAAATTTAAAACTCTGCTGCTCGCTTACAAAACAGACACAGAAACGTCTCCTCCTTACTTTAACTCTCTGATCCAGGTCTACACTCCCTCCCCCCCACTACGCTCTGCCAATGAAAGGCGTCTGATCCAACCTTCACAACAGGGTCCTAAGTCTCTGACTAGACTCTTCTCCTCTGTCGCCCCCCGGTGGTGGAATGAACTTCCAAACTCCATGTGATCTGCAGAGTCCCTCTGCACCTTTAAGAAAAAGCTAAAGACCCAGCTCTTTCATGAATACCTACTAACTTAATGATGATGGTCTCCATATTATTGATGATGATGATGGTAATGACGATGGTTTTTCTTTGATAACGACGACTTATAAGATGGTTTCTATACTGATTAGAGCTCTCAAGAACTGCCCTCAATGTTGTGCTTTGCCTCTGGTCACTTCCTGTCAGCACCTGTGTGTCCAATCAGACTCAAAGCTGATCGTTTGCTCTTACTGACATTGTTCCCTTTTTTCTAGATCCTTGCTTGTGTTGTTCTTACTCTCTGATGTACGTCGCTTTGGATAAAAGCGTCTGCTAAGTGAATTGTAGAATTGTAGAAATAATACACAGTTTTGACTTTTTATAATTCAAATACAGAAACATACATCACATGAAACCAAAGCAACAGGGTGTTCAGCACTCACTGATACATGTCAGGCTGTTCCACCTCAGAGACGTGCAGCCGCGCAGGTTGAGATGGATCACAAACGGGCGATATTTCTGCAGAACCTGCTGCGCTATGCCGTCTGTTATCCAGTGTTTCTCCACAGAGAAATTGATCTAACAAAAGACAGACATTAGGGGAATTATATTCCATGCCTCAAGTATGGCTTTTAAGCAGTATGATTTTTTATTTTAAAAAAGTGCAGACCTGACTCCACAATGCACCAGACTGAACAAGAGATTTCAGCGTGCAACACACCTCAGCACAAGCGAGCCAATCTCGGAATTCTAGATATTGAAGGATCTGCAGAAAAAGAATCACATGATAGTTGTGATGATGGATACATGTGAGCTCCCTTTTGGTCCATCCGTCAAACATCCAAGTGATAATAAAATAGTCAAGTTGTATTCATCAAAATAATAATCATGTGTAAAAACAAAATAAAGCAGAACCTTCTCTAAGTCAAATGCTATGGAAATCAATACACAGTTTAAAGCATTCAGTGAACTTCCATACTAATCCCACGATCAACATTTCTTCTCTCACATAACAAGCCATCGGTTTCAGAACACCGTAAGATGTGTGTACAAGTAGCCTCTTTCCTTCTCCTAACATAGTCATGTTGAAACACTCTGTTTAACAAGAGAATGGTGTGAACATAAATAACAGAACAAACAATGCCAAAACTGCGCTCACTTTGCCAACGAGCATGAATTAAAACAAACGGGGTCAACAACTGGTGAGTGCAAGCAGAGTCAAAAAGATGACGAGTTTTAAGCATCTTGTATAACCTCCACAGCCACTGGTCTCAAAGTGCTGCTAAACATTGAGACCAACAAAAGGTCGTTATTTGTTTGGAAATCTCAGCACAGCAACAGATCTTGAATTAGAGTTGCTTCATAAGTATAACAAAGTTTGTTGTCACAGGTAAGAGGTACATTCGACCACTATAGCAGCAACTGTCATCAATTAACTGGCCTTAAAGAGACTGAAGCCTGTTTACTTAAAGTTATGTAACCTGCATGATCTCATCACTACGGAAGAGGATTAGGGCCACTGAAATAAAACAATTTTGGTTCTGATATTTTTTTTTTAATTCTGACTTTAATCTCAGAATTCTGACTTTATTCTCAGAATTCTGACTTTATTCTAAATAATGTAATTTTATATTTCAAAGCGGGCAGCGGCATGAATAAAGTCAGAATTCTGAACAATTTTGGTTCTGATATTTTTTTTAAAATTCTGACTTTGATCTCAGAATTCTGACTTGAATCTCAGTCTGACTTGAATCTCAGTCAGAGAACTTTGATCTCAGAATTCTGACTTTGATCTCAGAATTCTGACTTTGATCTCAGAATTCTGACTTGAATATCAGAATTCTGACTTGAATATCAGAATTCAGACTTGAATCTCAGAATTCTGACTTTATTCTCAGAATTCTGACTTTGATCTCAGAATTCTGACTTTGATCTCAGAATTCTGACTTTATTCTCAGAATTCTGACTTGAATATCAGAATTCAGACTTGAATCTCAGAATTCAGACTTTGATCTCAGAATTCTGACTTTGATCTCAGAATTCTGACTTTATTCTCAGAATTCTGACTTGAATATCAGAATTCAGACTTGAATATCAGAATTCTGACTTGAATATCAGAATTCAGACTTGAATCTCAGAATTCAGACTTGAATCTCAGAATTCAGACTTTGATCTCAGAATTCTGACTTTATTCTCAGAATTCTGAGATTAAAGTCAGAATTAAAAAAGGAACCAAAATTGTTTTTTTCAGTGGCCCTAATCCTCTTCCGTACATCACTGACTGTAAAAAAGAGAGAAAAAAATCCATCTATGTGTGGGAAATAATGGGGCTCATTAAGTGAACAGAGAATCATCAAGAGAGTGGTTGAGTGATAAATGAAAGTTGGACAACCTTCAGTAAGAGGAAGCTAGGGAGAATCAACAGCTCCTCACATCCTTTCCCTGTCTCCTGGACTCTGTTGGGGTTTTCATAACGGCCCATTTCTACACTCTGCCAGATCTACACAAACACAAATGGAGAAAATTGTATAAAATTGTATACATGTACTTAATAAATGGCTAAAAAATTCAAGCATACCTCAAGGTCCTCTCTTGTCCTCGTTGAGTCCTTCACAACGTTATGCCATGAAGCGATGATGCGCTTCAGACGGCCATAATTTACAACTCTCTCAAGTTTGGCGACAGCGACTGAGTTGAAAAGAAATTTGAATTTTGTTTTAAAAGCACAACACTTTTTATGGTCATGTTTTATGCTCTGAATCTTTTTTCAGAGGAGGATAATGTGTGGGTTTAATAATGGCAAAAACATAATGATTATTGCTGATTTGGGCGCCCCCTGTGGACAATGCTGTACGTCTTATCTCTTTGCTTATCTGGTCCTTTTTTTGTCTTAACACAAAACTCATGCCGCTGAAAATCGAATGTATCATTCATTGATAAAAGTCTGTTTTGGCAGTATGTAGCTCTGCACTTTGTATGACACCTACCCACAAGCGGCGGTTCCAGCCATTAAAGGCTTTATATGTGATTTTTTGATCCAGCAGATGTCGCCCATTAGCACCAGCATGAAACCAAAACAACTGGCGCTGCATTGTTGTGTTAGCATGCTAATGCTAGCGATCTTTATTCTGCTGGTATCTTCACACTGCATGTAAATTTACCTGAAATGAGCGTGATCTAGAAACACAGTTAAGCAGTGAGTACAGTATGTTATTCTTCTTTTCTCTAGTCCCTCAATTAAACTACTTTTATACTCGAGGGGAGGAGTCAGCCGGCCGTCCGGGCGATGTAAACAAACTGAAGATAGGACTCTGAAAACATCACAGACAGTGGAACTCGGGTGTTACACCCATTGTAGACAGTCATGACTCACAGAGTTATTTTCAGAGGATATACTTGATTTCTATTATATTTAAGTGTGAAAAATCACATATTAAGCCTTTAAAGATTACTATACAGAAATAATCAGTCTTGAGGCTGATGGTCTCTTTTGCTTTCGAAGTTCATCATCAAACATCAACATTACTGTGAGTCTGTTTCATAACCAGTCAAAAAGTCCTCATAGTAGCTTTACATTTGATTGTACTGAATTCCAAGTTGGATTTAGCATATAAAGTCCAATTCACAGAGAGGGAAGAATGAAGGGGACAGAATGAGTCATGAGTGGGCGTACACTTCGGGGAAAAATTGAATTTCAGTTTGGATGCATTTCTTAACCAGACTGCTTGTTTTCTCTGGTTACACTACAGAGACACACAGCTCACACAAAAACATAAAATCCCATGAGTTAAGCCAAAACTCCTCATGATGTATTTTACAGTCTGAATAACTTGATTAATCACCTACCAGCCCGTGTCTTCTTGTGAAGTTTCACCCAGTTTGACCATTTAGTGAGTGCAGCCTGCTGACATCTCTTCACACAACGTTCCTTTGTCAGGTCCATCTTCTGATCCAAACTCTATGTAAACTCTATCTCTTACTCAGCTGGTGAACCTCTTCCAGCTCATCATTAATTCAGAGCACAGGTTTGAAAGCACACTGTCAGAAAGCTGCATTAATTAATCAGGACAGAATTGAGTTACATTGAGACCAATCATTTTATATTGTGTTTTTTTACTAATGAGGATCTAAACTGAAGCATGATTGGACCCTCTGACAGGAAAAAGTGATTAAAGGGAGATGAACACGTGGCAATACCCATGAAATATTAAAAGTAATCCAATGTAGAAATGTGGAAACCTCAATTTGCATTGAACATATAGGGGGCTATATCCCTCCCCTTATCTTTTTTGTTTTGTTTTTGTCTGTTTGTTTTCTATTTTCTTTTTCTTTTTCATCTTTTTTTCTTTTTTTTTCTTCTTCTTTATATTTATTTTATTTTTTCTCTCTCTTATTTCATTGTTTTGATGTATGTGTATGTCTGTGTATTCATTTCTAAAGATGTTGCTGCTTCTTTTCTTGGGGGGTAGTTTATTTTTTGATTCATTCAACATCTTATGTCAAAAACATGTTTGTTGAAATGAAATAACCATGTGAATGAAGCAACTCTTAAATATATACAAAGTATAAAAAAAAAGGAGATGAACGCAATGATGCATAAGTGCAAGGATAGCTGTGAAATACAATATCTTCATGAACTCA